CCACAAAAAAAACACAAAACAATTAAACAATCTCTTCCCTTTTTTTAATCTTTTGTATTCAAAGCTGTATACCTACTCTTAGTGTATGCCTATCACTAAGAAAATCACAGATTCTCTTATTGTCAAATTGGATAAAATCACACCTGCCACAACTTGTGTTTTCACCAATGAAGTCTTTATGAATATTTTCACTGACAATATTCACTTTGAGTTGTGAACCAGAGAACCTGTCCTATAGTTTTTTCACCAAATATAGCAAAAGAGAGGCTTCAATTTTTAAACTTTTTCCCCACAAAAATATGCATAGGTCGAGGAAAAAGCCAGTTAGAAAGTTCATGCACTCTCAGATAAGTGGCTTCTGAAAATACATCACTGTAAATTAATATTACCAATATTGGTTAATCTATCTATGAGAAAGATGAAGAGATGCTAAAATCAATCTGTCTCCCTAAAAAAGAGTCTGAGTTAAAAATATTCAAGCTTTTTAAGACATACCTATTACACAAACCAAAAGAGAATTTACTCCTTTGGCCAGCTTCCTTTTTTCCTTTTTTCCTTTTTTCCTTTTTTCCCAGAAACCTCTTTCTCACCTCCTTTACAAATCATTGAATAGTCTCATATCCTAACACAGATCTCAAAGCAAGGATTTTATTGCAAATGAGATAATCAACTAACACGAAAGGGTAGAATCACATCCACTTGGTGGAGAAAACTGAAAACAGACTGTGAAAATTCTCTCAAAGATGAGTTTCCACAATTAGCCACAGGCTAGGAAAAAAAGTGTACATGTATAATACATAACTATATAATTTATGTACTGAGTTATAAACCACCAACCATTTCTGCTTGTGTGTAAATGTAAATGTATCACATGACCAAATATTTTCCACTTTGTATATTTGTCCTTGAAAATTATACGTTTCTTGAAGCTCTAAGTTTTCCTTAGAAAAATATTGGTGCATATTTTCACCAAAAGGAGGCTATCCTTCATAAAATGAAATTCAGGCTATTGCAATACTTATGCTTTCAATGTTTTATAGTTTCTCATTATAATAATGATTTAAGAATGTCACTTGCAGTGCCATTCCCCTACTGAATGACATTCCCATATGAACTGTAGTTTTACCTCAAACCAGAATGTTGCCCATCAAATTATATTTCTCCTTAAAATGTTTGACCACTTATTTTTGTCATTTCATTAATTTTTTTGTTCTAAAAACCACCTGGCTAAATATGGGGCACCAACAATGACAATTTTCATTTACATTTCTACATTACTTTTACATTACATTTCATACTTTAACCCCAAAAGGTGACTAACATGTATCTTAATGCATCCAATAATATCCAAAGATTATCCAGAAAAAAAAAATAATGAGAATGCTCAAACTTATCATGTGGAAGTTGCTATCTTGATATAACACCAAATTCTTGTTACTAATTTACTAGGAAATGTGTAGCAGCTTAAGAGGGCTGAGATTTAACGATCAAATCTAAGCAGTTAACCCTTTAAGTCCCACGAGTGACCTAGACAGAATTTCTCCTTACACTATCAGTACAATATCAAGCAGACAAGTAATGAGAATAAAGAAAATATCAATTAAGGGATTATTGGTTGATCCAATACCAAATTCTCCAAATTAGAATCATATGAATTGTATAGCAGACAGTAAGAAGAATTACTAATGAGATCTTGGGAGTTAAAAGGTTAAAGGGTGAACTTCAACCAATACTGAACTTGTTCCAAGTTTACATAGTGAATGCCTGAACATCAGATTCAACCCTTTAACTACAAGAGGTGACTAGCATGTATCTTCATCTTATAATATCCAATGATTATCAAGTAGAAAAATGATGAGAATGCTCAAACTTATCATGTAGAAGTTGCTATATTGATGAAACACCAAATTCTTGTTACTAATTTGCAAGGAAATGTGAAGCAGCTAGAGGGCTGAGATTTAACAATCAAATATAAGCAGTAAAAGGGTTAAGTGATGCTGAACTTTTTCCACGTTTACATGGTGAGTGCCTCATCTTAACCCAAGGGTGATTGGCCGAATCAATGGCGGATGGCTATGCAAAGCCATGACAAAGTCACGGGTTTGAATAGCTTTTGAGAATTCCTCATCTTCTTGAGTGTTATTATACGAGGATATGTAAACAGCAAATGTCCTCCTATACCTTAATAAAATATTGCTAAAAAATGCGCTCGAATCTAAAACGTCTCAAAGATGTTTACATAATTATACTTGCGAAAAACCCTTAGTAACCCATGATACTAATTTGTAAATACAAGTATTAGCATAAAGGTCAAACGGTTGCCGACTGCTGGTTGATCATGATATAACTAAAGAAGTTCAAATATTGCCACACATTGACTTCACTGAGTTGTACAGAAAACAGGAGAAATTATTGGCCAGAATCAGTGGGTGAAATGAAAAAAACTACATTTGCCCGTGTCGTGAATTTGGACATAAGCATGTAGCAAATTGGGATATAAATAATGAATCTTGATTAATTTTCAAAGGCTTAAATGTAAATATATTCAACTGATGTATCGTTCTTCGCAATGATAGCTACGTTTTTAAACAAACTCTAACCTTTCTCAGCGGGCCGGCAGACGCCTGCTCTGAATTGAAGTCCATTATGAAATCAAGCGAGCGCTCACAAAATAGTCGTCAACTCGACAACAATAATAATATGCTTAGCAAGAGCAAGAACAGTCCTCAATTAGATCTTAAGCAAGGCAACCAGAATGTGACTGTGACTTAAAAAGCCAAGTTCCACTCAGCAAAAACTTTGAGGTAGAGCTTGCATTAGCAAAGTGTTCCAAGTCTCTCGCAGGTTTGAAAAACTACCGCGGCTGGTCACCGCGGCTGGTCACCGCGGCTTACTTAGAACTCCCGTCAATAGAGGCGATAGTTACGGCGGGGAGGGGAGGGTGTGGAACGCAATTCTGGTTCATCGTCATTAAGAGCACCAATTTTAAAAGGTCGTTTTTTTGCGAGAACCAATCAAATATGATAATTTTAAGTGAATGTTCTGAAATAACAAACTAATCACACTCTTCAAGGGAGTGTGTCTTAAACCAGTTAAGTTATCAAACGCTTTTGTTTACTTGAAGTAACAAGAACAGAATGATTTCAGAGGGTAGCACGGCCTCGGTGGACTTCTCTTCCCTCCCCCCTCCCCAACCTAGTCTGACAAGTTTCTTGACCCTTAACCCCACTCCGGCAAAATGAACGCCTCAAGGATCACAAGTTACAGCTTTAAATCGAAACCTATTTCTATCCCTTTTCGGTAAAACTTTGAGGTGGTATTTACTCTCGTTTTTCAGACCCCTGTGAATACAGAGATGTGTCAGATGTCTATCCACACAAGGTTCAGGAGTTGGAAGAGAGGCTTAACTACTACCGCAGCACGGCGCTGCCAGTTGTTTATCCAATGATCAGCCCGAAAGCAGATCCAAAAAATTTTAATAGTTTTTGGGGTCCCTGGGAAGTTCTCACAGATAAGTCGGAGTACTTTTCTGCAAAGAGTGCTTGTAAAGAAGTGCATGCAAAACAGGTCCAGCTTGGTTTACATCGCATGGTATACTCCAATCAAACCCTGTAAATCAGTGTATATATATATTATATATACACTGATTTATTTATAATATTATATTATAATATTATTATAATATAATATATTTTCATAGTCAATGAAATCTGGTTGCAGACGGAGACGTGTAACATTTGATTCCTCAGTATCCACATGTTGGAGTCACAGACGGCTTTTATGGACGTGGTTCATTACCCTGCTTCATCAAGAGTACTCAAAAAACATTATACTATTGTATATACTATTGTAACAAAATATTAGTATAGGTAATAACATGATTTCGAGTGCAATTTGCTGTTAATAAGCACGAGTAAATTTTTCAAGTCCATATTAACACCAAATAGCACTCGAAATCATGTCTTTACTTGTTAATAATATACATAAAAGAACTTTACAGAAAGTCAAGACAGACGAAATTTTGAAAGCGTGCGCGCGCAATTTGTAATTTGCATTTGTGTCAAAACTTTACACACGTGTTAAATGAGAATGCATTCGTTTTAAGCCAACCAGAAGCGCGTGATATTTCCATGTGCTTTATTATAAAAGAAATGATATTGTAAAGTTCTATGAGGTGACCCGATGGACGCCAGCCAGACTATTCTTTAGAGAGAATAAGAACATCGATCTAACCGCAGATGTTTATCTGTACTTGGCCCGTTACTCTTCTGACTAGAACCCAAGCGATGTACTGGGATTTCATCGTCAAAACTTTAACTATTAGGATCTGATCAGAGATCTTTCCTAGTAGTTGACATAGTTTCATGAATGTAGAATTGTTCCACATAACACCCTTTGGGACATAGCGGGTTTTCTGCTCTCATCATCTGTTTCCTGTAAGGTAGAACATAACTCTCACCAAGCTCGAAGTTTCTTCGTGCATATAAGCGAGGTTCTCAGTAATCCTTAGCCTTTGGCCTTCGTCTATAGCCTAGGAAATTAGCAACGTAAATGTGCATAAATTATCGACTGTTAAGAGCGACTATTCTTTACTCAACTTTCAATAGTGAGGGCTAATATCTAAAACGTAGGAGACTAACCCCTTAAATGAAAATCCCAGCTAAGCAAGAATTGAATAACCAGAGTGAGAACTAAGATTAGAAGGTAGACCTGGTTAACAGTATAATTGGCACACTGTTTATACGGTGTGATTGTTTAGGAGTAAGCTCAACACACCATTTATGCATTTCATTTAAGGTAGATCTGTTATTTGCATCTTCCACTCAGTTTTAATTGCACCCTGCTGCGACAGGAGGTGCGAAAGGAAGCTAGCTTCGAAACTGAAAGACCTTTCGAACAATCGTAGTTTTCAAAATGGAGCCAGGAGGAATCCTTGCATATATGTGTGAATTGGTTACTTCAAATTCAACACTGGAAAAGAGACGTTAAAAATAGCCCTTGATAATCTGTTTATTCATGTAAAACAATAAGGTGACAAGTACTTGATAAGCCTTAAGGCAAAATTAATTAATGATCAGGCCGATTAATTTGTTGTTAAACAACTTCCCGTCGAATTGCTCAACAGTACACCATTGATTTGATTTAAAATGAAAACTGTTCTTATTTTCGGCTTCTAAAAAGGATCGGCCAACCCAAGTTTAGCTCGCTTTTACACGGAAAATCTGTGATTGTGGATGGGAGGAGTAGGAGGAGGTGTAATAACCTCACATTTCTAAAAAATTAATTTAAGAGAATTCTGCGACTATGGTCAACAACTATGTTCTAATTTACCCACAAGACTTCTATCCTATCCTTCTACTGTCACATTATATCGTAGATTCCATCTTAAATTTTGGATACTCTAGTTGTCACATTCCTTATGGTAGCCAGAGCAGTAACTCTTTTCTTTTCTTTCGTATTCGTAAACAAAGTCCAATTGTTCGCGCGTTTAGCATTGTTCGTGGTCTTCTGCTTACAACTAAAGCCTTTTGGAGTCTGCACCGCATACAAATTTGTGAATGTGGTGGTCATTATGCAATTTCCCACTGAATTATTTTTCACTTTCGTCGAATAAAGCTCATTTCTCTCAAATGTCGCGACTCCATTTGGTAGTTAATATTTGAAGAGGTTTGTTTACAGAAGAAGTTAACTATGGCTAAATTTAACGCAGGAAATTTTTTTCATGACAAGCGCTACTGCTGAATTTTTTTCGGAAATATTTACACGTAGTTCATCTTTCCACCGTTAAGACCAGGAGACCAAGAAAAAATTATGCCATTAACTTTCACTTTCGATCGCCTCCATGTTGGGTACAGCAGTATGGGTGATAGGTCCACGATGCTTACGTTGGCTCATGTAGCCACTGATCGCAGATCCTCGTCTAGTGAGGTACATACTGACAGAGGAACCCCGTCGGCTGTTCCCTACAGTTTGCTCAAGATAAACCCGATTAAAGAGTCGCTTGAATGCTCGCCTGTATGTGCGGTTCATACAAGTGTATATCACAGGGTTCAAACACGAATTTAAGTATTCCATCCACTTGAACATGTTGTAAACTTCCATGGGGTGAGTAAAGTTTTTGTCTGTTGCATGGCCTACCACAATAACGAAAAATGGAAGCCAGCAAACGACGAAAGCGCCAATGACAACTAAGATGGTCTTTGCTGCCTTCATCTCGTTAGCGTGTTCCTTCCCTCCAGCTGATCCGATTCTGTGCACTTGGATTTTGACAACAATAAAGATGACAGTGTACATCACGATTACAAGTGACAAGGGAAGAAAGAAACTTGCAAAGGCCGCAAAAAGGCCGTAGCTTTGCCAATTGGCCAGTCGTAGACATGCGATGGTCGTTGAGTACAACCAAACCAGTGCGAGGATAATTAAGACCCTCTTCGTAGTTAATATCTTTGGATACTTAAAAGGTGTCACGATTGCCAACATTCGATCGATACTGACCGCTGTAAGATTCATAATGGAGGCTGTACCACAGAAAATATCGATGAAGCTCCAGAAGGAATACAACCCCTCTTGTAACCGAGGCCATGGCCACAGTGTATTGTTAAGCTGAACAATGAGCCAAAACGGCATAGCAAGCAGAGCAACCAAAATATCTGCCACACTTAAACTAACAATAAAATAGTTACAGATCGTCCTGAGGTTGGGAAAAGTGTAGAAACTGATACAGACGAGAACATTTCCAAATAGAGTCACCAAGATCAATATACCGACGAAAACAGCTGCAACGATGCTATTCGGCGTAGGATTTATGCCAGTAGGGGGAGCACCTGTGATATTTCCTGCCTCAGACATGTTGAATACCTACCACCGGTGCCTTTGATGCGCCTGTGTGAACAAGAAGCGAAACAAAAGCTAAACGTCAACCTCATCTGCATAACTGAATAAATATAAACATTGATAATGAAAGGAACTTAGAAAAATGGACCAACTTCCTCAACGTACTGCGTTCAATAAAGTCTCCAGATACTCAAAGACATTTTACTCATTCTCTATCTTTGAACAAGCTCAGCCTGCGACGAGATAATCTCTGTTTTGATCAGCTATGGAAATAACTTCGAGGTCAACAAGTGCTTTCGTAGCTTAGGTAATAATTGGTTTCCGGAAACCCCAAAGGCTCAAAATACCTTAAAAGCTAATTTACACCTTTTCTTTGATTACTGATTTTAAACTGCTAAATCAATTAAGGTCAACACTCCATGGCTATCAATAAAGGGACAGAAAACATTCACATTAAGCTATTGAGGGAACAACGAGATTTAAAAGGCTTTTTAATTTTAAACACTTGCAGCAATAAAGGGTAAAGATCAATCTAATATGATAATTCTATCAAAAATTGCATAGAGATGAAATCTTATTGTCGAGATGAATAGGCTTAGAAACCAATTTACTTTCTTATCACACTTGTTTGTGAATTCAACCTTATTACAGTGGTTCAGGCGAGAAATACTATAATAAGAAGTCTGTTCGAATCTCTCTTTATTATGAGTTAGTTGAAAATTTTCATCTCTGAAAAATCAAAAAGACATCCTTGTTCTTCAGACGAGGTCCCAGCAATGCAAAATCAGACTAAACATGATCTCTGTCAGACAGATATTTACTCCAGTAAAGACAAGTCTGTTATGATGAACCTTGGTAAATATCTAAAATGTAAAGGCACTGTTTGTTTTCTTTTCCGACCCCAGTATCCTATTTTCTCACACTTGAATGCTTTCACCGTGCTCGTACACTAAAGGTGTTAGATAAATTTGGCAAACCCTTCCTGCATAATATGTTCTCATTTCAAACATCGATGTCAGATTGCTTTTAGGTCTGTGCGGCGAAAAGTAAACTTTGAATGTTGACATTTGGGCTCTTAATTTTTTCCATTTTGACGGGCATAACACAGAGCTTATGTAAACTGAACAGACGATGTGTCTTTGAAGCCAGACTACAAACAGGAGGAATTTGATTTCATATGAATTTGCGAGGGAACAAAAGGACATCACAATAACGCAATAGCGACAAAATAAAAAAGAGTTTGAACTTCGAATATGACTCACTCAGTGTTGAAATCTTTTCCTTCTCCAAACTGATCTGCATCAGCTCGCTTTTCTCTAGATTCCGCACTCTCAGTAGGAGTCAACAGGTAAGTCAAGCTGCGAGGCTTTTAATTCAAGCAGTTAAAAGATAAGACTGCTCAAAAACTGTACTTCAAAGAAATTGATTTTATCAATCAATGGTTACCGATCGTTGAATATTACTTAATGATCGCAAGAAGATGATAAATTACTTGATACACGCAAAGCAAAATCAAAGCACTCTTGCCAAATGAAAGCTGAAGTGGCTTACAAAAGTTGTTTGTGGCATCATAACGTGCAGAAAATTCGACAAAGCTTTGCCAATTGCAGCTCTTGCAGTACATCCGCTTCATTTGAAAAATTGGTTTCAAACGTCCTTATGTGTTCCGTAATCTTCTCCCCACATGAATGACGCCTAAAACTGGCGGAGGTGTATGGGCTTTGACGTCGGATCGGTCTACAAAATTCATCCTGATCGGAAACACCGAAGATAAGGTCCTTGACAAATATTTATGGCATGATCGACATACATACAAGAGCTAAAGAAAGCGTGTTATCTTGTAATGATTACTGTGATTCTCCCCTATCCAGGCTGCGCACGAAAATCTATGATATGAACATAACTAACCTTTGCGGCGGGTTAAATTATTTTTGGCTCTTGACTTCAAATACGATTAGTGTTGAATCTTGAGTCGAGAAAAAGAATCGGCTCAAACGAAACGCAGACGAATTTATGAAAAATTGAAACTCGGTGCACGCAATTAATGACAGAAATCACAAACGCAAATACTTTGACAGGATTAAAGTAAATCCAGTAGCTTTTATGCAAACTTTATTAATAGCATTACCAACAATAGCTCAGAAACCATAATCAATGATTTAAAGACGGAAATTATCCTGTAAGATATCTCTTTTGCGAAATCTATTTGTGGCACCTTTTTCATATTAATCTGAATCTCTTTGCCGTTCCGCAGTTGATAATAAAAATCATTCTGTGCATTAAAAGATGGCTCGCTTTACGATGTACTTTGACTTGATAAGCAAAAATGAAGGGAGAGATGCATGGAACCCAAAAATAGAAGTAATTCTTTTTCCGAATCACCTCAATCAATCTTTCCTTGAAAGGTGGCGATAATGGGGTATTTTTACGAAATATTTTTCTTGAGATTTGCGATGTACTGTAATTTGATAAGCAAGATCGACCGAACGGATGGAACCAAAGAACTGAAAATTATTTTTCTTAACCATGCGCTAATAAATTCACGCCGACACTTCACGAAACGAAACTTTGGGCGTCTTCATGGACAGACTTAGATACGATCAGTCTCTCTCTTTCACGCGTTAAGAGATTGATATAGGCTACGATGGATTGTGGTTGATAAGCTTGGGTAATAAACAAATGGAACTAAAAAATTGTAACCTATATTTCAAACACCGTTAATCAATTCATACCGAGAGTACCAAATTTTTGTTTTGTCTTCACATAAAAAAAGATGATCAGTTTAATTCTATGCAGTCTGACGTAAAATAGTGCCCCGACAGGTCCAGTTTTTTTTTTTTTTCACTTACTCCAAAGGTACATAAGTTTTGCGGTGTTTCCTCATTAGGAGATAAGGCTGTTTCTTTCGCATAGATAATGCTCAGAATTAATTCTAAAGTATTTTAAAAATAAAAACAGCCAAACATTTCTACTTACGCCTCCGTCGGCCTGTTCTCTTTTTTACTCCACTATCGTTAAACAAATTCCTAAGAACCATTAGCAGAGAGCTTCGATTGCGATTGTTAGAATCAAATCTGATTCAATAATAAGAATCTAGTTAAAAAAAAACTTAATTTAAATTGAATCTAGAACTTCTTATCTTATTGTTCGAGTGATATCCCACAGCGTCTCATGCAAGCAAGGGAGCTTGGCTTCAATATCATTGGTTATACGCGAACGACAAACGGAGACCTTCAGTTCAAACCCTTAATAAATAAATGATTATTTGCTTTGACGTATAAATTTATGAAAAACCTAGACAAAACCCATACATTTATTCGTATTATTTAGCTCAGTACACAATGATTGTTTACGCTCCGAAATGGTGAATTAATCTGCTTTTCCCAGCCTTTTCATCACGGCGACAAAGAAAAATTGCACAAAGGGGAAACATTTCTTGAAAAATAGTAAATATAATAAAATTTTTTAGAGGCGAAACACCCGCGCTTAATTGCTTGGCAAACCGACAACAGTGAGATTGTTAAAACGCATCAAGAAACAGGATGCGCGAAAGATCATGCCGGTAAAAATATTGTAGGCGACAAAAGCGAAATCATGGACAAAAGATGAAAAGTAACAGGTCTAAATTAAAAGGCAAGTATTTTCATACGATTCTGAAGTGATTTCTGTAACAGTAATTTTGTAACAGTAATTTTGCGAAAGTGTGAAATAAACGAACAGGAATTACTTTGTACGTTTGTTAATCTTTGCACCCTCGATGGTTAATCTCTTTACATTTGTGTACTATACCTTAGGGTAATACGGGTTACTGTACACCACAGCTTTTTCAAATGCCGCTCTACATGACAGAAATCTCCGCGCATGTAAATACGTAACAGCTTTTAAGATTTCCGAGGCTGGACACACCTTGTAACATGTAGTAATCAGCTTTGTCTTTTGTGGTTCGGTCCTTTTCACACATACTGACAAGTAACACAGGTAAAGATATCGCCAGATTCTATTATAATAATCTTGTCTTTTTTAATTACAAATTAAGAACTACATTTCAACTTTAATTTACGGTTCAGAGAAGCACATAATGCGACTGATTAAAGAGTGTCAACATTGTGGTTTAATTTGGGGCTCGCATCAGAAGATTTTCAACCAGTTTCCAAATATGGTAATGAGTCGGAGCTGAGGTTGGTTTTTTTTCTTCGAAACTACACGTTCAGCATAACTTAACATTTTTATAAACACCGATGCCGACTTAAATCAGGCAAGCTTACAGAAGAAAACTACTCTTTTGACAAAAAAGAAGATGAAAATTAGAACGACGCAAACTTTGTTTAGCCACTTTCTAGCAGTGATGATTATAAATAATTAAAATATGTACACAGTTTCATCCGCTTTATAATTAATCTTCACCAGAAAGTTACCTCTTTGCATGTATAGATTGTCAGAAATACGTTGAGCAACGAACACATCGAAAAAATTATCGATTATCGAGCAATGTGAGGTCAAAAAATGGCCTCTCCATTTTGCTAATACGAACTTGAGTTTTGGAGATAAATATGAAACTAATGTTAAGGGAGATCTTTGCCAATAAAAAAGAAACAAGCGCAAAGATAAAAAAAACGAATCTTGAAATGGTCGCTTTTTAGTCGTACAATCCAACTCAGGTATACAGCGTGAAAAATATTCCAAAAACATGGCGGCCTGATAGGTCAGAAGCATGTAAGCTAATCGCCATGCTGCTCTTTCCTTGTATGAAACTGTGTTGTCGTGCTGTTATTTTCAATAAGAAGCGCGTCCTTTTTCACTTTTAATTAAGAAAATAACAAAGAAAGCCATGTTTAACTACAAATCAAGAGATTCTAGTGTAACCTGAATCGCTAAAAAGCAATGAAAGGTACATATTTGTTGTAACCTGTCTCGGGTGCGTGTTAATCGAGCTTGAAGCGGAAGAATTAATTTTAGAAGCAAATTTTAGCTTGTGAAGGGTAAGCAAACTCCATTTACTCTCAGAACATGAACAATAAACAAAAGAATGTTCGTTCATTTACACTGAAAATACTGAAAAAGGAGCAACAAGGTAACCTTTTCAGACCCAAAACAACTAAAACGAAAGATTTTATTAATGCACGACAAAACATCAAACTTACGGTTCGTCTTGGAAACGAATAAACCGTACCACTTTCCTTCGCTACATCAACTTCCTTTTCAAAAGAATAGTCGCTCAGGAAACTTGCCAAGGGGGTCGATAATCAAGAAGCGTCCCCTTTATAGCAGCCACTAGAAAGATGTTAATGGATCATCAGGTAGAAGCAGATGGTCATTCATAAACATTCAACAAAGATGTTTGTTAAAGACTCTCTTGCCTGCACGTTTCAAGAAGTAAAACATGTAATGATAACAGGCCGACACATCAGTGTGACGAAACCTCAATTACAGGAGCAGGAAGCTTAATTAAATGGTCGCATATTGGTAACTATAAAACAACCTTTCTAAGGAATTAAAAACAAAATTTCAGCGCGTATATCTACGGGGTGTAAGATTATATCTCTTTTTAATTATCCTTCGCATGCTAAAGTGCTCTCCATCAAAAGTTTTTTGTTTGAAGAAAAGCGACATAATCCTTCGTAAACACTTCAAGAAGATTTCAAGAGGACGAAATACACAACCATTTTTATTTTGTTTTTTTTTTTGCGTCGCTTTCAATAAGGTCAAAAAAAGCGAAATTTGCGTTATAATAATGGTGGATCTCTCACGAAAAAAAAAATTAATCTGATATTTTTTCATTTGCAGAATTGTAGCACTCATTAGGTCGCAGTTCATACGACTAAGACCCTGAATTTAATAGTTGAGTTAATGGAGCTTTAAATGCGAATGGAAATTTATGAGAATTGAATATTTAACTGGAAATATGGTGTTATGGTCGCAGTTGAGGAAAACAATCAGCGAACAAATTTTTAAGTTGTGAATTAGAGTCTCCACGCGACCTGAAAAAGCAGACATTCTACTTAAATTTTTAAACCTTCTAATGAATAGATGAATCCAAAACCGACGGCAACTCACCATGAATCGAGGGAATCCACTAATGGTCCTTGGAAAAAAAAATTATATCCTTTCCATCAAAGTACTTAATTAATTACGCCACTTTCCAAAGATATTCCTCTCACTTCTCTATTGGCAAAAGAGCACGTTTTCATTTTCTTTTTTTTTTTTTTCTGCAAGTAATTCAAAAGTGCCGAACGTAAACTCAAATGGCGTATTTGTAACAATTTGTGTAAACACCGTGGTCGGCCTTACGCGCTTAATAAAGAAACGCATTAACCGAATCGCTTGGATGGTCATTTTAAATTCGTACTATCCAGCTCATTAGCGGCCGGCACCTTTCAAATTCAAATTCACGGCTATTCAATGGTCTGAGCCTCGTTTACTTACGCGACTCAACTATAATTATGTTTTTATAACGACTGAAAATAAACACGAGCAATTTACCATAGTTTGGCTTGATGCGCGAATTAACGCCAACTCGCCGATTGCTTCTACTTCCTTGAGTCGGAGACAAACATCAAGACAAACGTCGGTTATCATTGTGATCGACCTAAAAAATTTCCTACTGTGAGCAGTCGACTGATCTTGTGGTTCACAACCATTAAGTAAAAAAAACTCCAAGGGTTATGAAGAGTTGTACAGCCAGAGAATATCATTTTAGTAGTTAATTTATGATCACAAACAAAACCTGGCGAGTAGAGCTTATGCACACACACATGGAAACTTCACTTCTCAAATTTTACAACCTGGCATAAATAATAAGAAAAAAACCCCTCTTTCTCCTCCTTGGTCAATTTTGTTGCTTATTTGTTATTCAAATAAGTTACCCGAAGAAAAAACCACACAAAACAACATCGAAAGAAAGCATCATTGAAGGAGGGAATGGGAACTTGGTACAATACAAGGGCTTCTAAATCTTTTTAATAAAAATCAATGGGCTTTTCGTGAAGTCGTCTCTACAATCATAGGCGGATGGGGAAGCACTCCTTCGAGGCAACAGTTCCCCAGTTGAGTTCTCCCTCCCAAATTACATTTGTCTCAGCTTCTGAAGTTTAAAGACGTCTGTTAAAACACATCTGTTCAGATAAGCTTCTGAATAGAACTGACCTTATTCATTTGTGGCACATATCTACATTAGTCATGGCATATTAGATTACATTTTAAGATTGAAAATGTCAACTCATACATTTATTTGCTTTCTGTGGGAAACACTCTATCACTTTCAGAATAGAATTATGTAGAATTATTGTGAAGCGCTCTTGATCTGATGACATAAACAGCGCCACATAAATGTGCAGTTATTATCATTTCATTAATATTGCGATTGCCTAATTTTCCCAGGCTTCTTAGTCAAAAACACTAGACGAAAGTGATATCATTTCAACAGCTTTTTACTCCGTGGCAACACCAGAACAAGAGTTAGAATATGTAACTCAGCGTGACTTCCTCTGAGACTTAAGTTTGGCGTCGTTTTGGTGTCGTTTTAGTTGTTGTTTTTCTTCATTTAACACAACTATTTCAATTATCCAAGGAGAGACAGGATGTCTCCAATATCATGGCAATATCAGCAGGTCTTCGAGACTGTCTAAATTGAATATTTTTTCTTCTTCTTCTCTATAACTAAAACATCACACTTGGGCTGATATGACGTTGGCAAATTTTTTTCCAGATTTTTTCCAGATTTTTTTTAAGATATGAATTTGATCAAATTCCTAAAGAATCTTCCAACAAAGACAAATTAATTTTGAGGAACCCTCAGTTTCATTTATGTCATTCAAATGATAAAGAGTTTCCAACTTGAATATTGATTAGTGTTCGTTAAATATAAAACAGAGCTCACGAAATATTTTTGGTCAGTTGGGTTGCCTGCGTCCTATTACTGATGCGCATTAAGTAATTTTTCATTTTATTCAGAATACATGGCAAAGAGTGAAACATAAATTTTATGGTCCCTCTTTTGTTAGTGTGTAAAACGGTCGTGGAGTGAATATTTTGGCCTTGATTCGATTTTAAGAAAGCATTGGCAATTTGAACTAACCACAAACCAATCTTTGCCAAAAATAATAGATCATCTCGGAAAAATAGAGATAACATAGCATTAAGATTTAAATATTCATGTTGTTGTTGTTTTTTTTCTATTTACAAAGATATGTTTTCCCACATCCTATTGATTTTTTCGTGCCTCAGTGGCTGATATGCGAAACAATTTATTTATGAAGCAGTCGATTCAATTAAGGAGTTTATTGTGAAACAGGGAAAAAAACAAGACTTTTGAGCGGCTCTGAAACCCTAAGAAACTTCCTAAAAACCGACATGTCTACAGAATACAGGAAAACAAATTGAACCACGCAAAATGCCCTCGATATAGTATCCTGGCACTAACTGTGGATTTACAGGTTTTTGTTTCTCAAGAAAAATAATAAAAAACAGATAAATACTTACAATGTTTTCAGTCGTGTTCAAGATGCAGAGTTACGACAAAAATCTCAAGCGCTCGAATCTTTTATCCAGAGATTAGTGTAGTTTCGAATAATGTCTTTCCGGTAAAATAATTTCAGCTGTGTAAAGATAATGAGGCAATTTCAAGCGCATGTAATGGCCGAATACATACATTTTGCTGGCTTCAATTCTGGTCTGACTGCAATTTTACTTAGATACTGGAGCGGTCATATATAATATTAAGCTTAAAGGTGTATACCATTTTGGCAAAGACTGTGAGTCTAATAATATTATCTTAACAGCTACTTGCCCATATGTAATATAAAGCCTAAAGGTGTATACCATTTTGGCAAAGACTGTGAGTTTCTACACGGTCTACTGATAACAGCTACTTGCTCATATAAAATATAAAGCTAAAAGGTGTATACCATTCTGGCAAAGACTGTGAGTTTTAAACGGTCTACCGTATGAAAGTGCCGGGAAAACATTCCTGCTAACCGGCTTGGTGACAAGGGAACTAAAAATAGAACGCTCCGAGCAAAGCAATGATCTAAATGTTTATTCATGTTGAAGAATATCACCTGAATGTAAATATTTTGGCTGAAATAAAACTGGTTAAGCTCTCTTTCCACTATCGATACTGGTTACGAAACGGCAAACAAAATTTTTTTTACCAAAATTTGAAGGTTATTACACATCAACGTTTGTTTACGACATCTGTCTCGAACACTGTCTATCCGATAACGTTCATGAAAACAAAATGTATGCGCGTTCTTTTTTTTTTTTTTTTTTTTTTTTTTTTACGATAGTAGTTTATTTTTGTGGCTCATTGTCAAATAACCAAGTCTGAGTTTTCAGGAACCAGGCGAAACCTTTCTACATCGAGTCAAAATTCATATTTCTCGCAGGTTTCCAGGTGATCAAACAGGCCCAAAAGGGTGAATAATTTACCAGCCAGACTCTGCTTTCATTTTTCCTTCCCCAAAAAATACTAGACAGAATTTCGTTGATTTCAAAGAAGGGAGTAAATTTTTTATTGTGATATTTTTAGTATTATCTTACTCATTTTTCTTTTCACATCTGCGACAGTGGCCAGGTCGTTTCTTTGGATATTTGGTGTCATTTATAACTTCCATTGAGACCATAAGTCCCAAGTTTTCAACAAGGACGTGGTAAAACAATAAACGTAATGAGCAGAACAATAGCACAGCACAAGCGCTTTTAATGCATGATAAATTTCCTATATTTTCTTTGTGTAGTCAAAAGACCTCGACAGAAAAAAAATTTGCTCTTAATTCCATTTAGAAATCGACAACGCCTTTACACGATGCGCTAATAAGAGGTGTGCCAAACGTTCTAAACGCACAGTTAACACATCACGCCCCTAGCAAAATTCTCAACATCATTACAAATGTATATAGCCTTTAAATCGAATTTCTTCCAAGGTTTCGCCGCTATGGCTGCGTAAGATTCCATTAAGTCTATTAAGCAAAGCGTCCGTGCACTACGACGAATGAAAACATTCGCTTTTAAGTTTTCTTGAAAACAATAACAGCATGAATCCATTTTTGAAAAATGAATTTTCCTTAATTTCTCTTCTTTGTCTCTTAAACTTCCTCAGTTCTAAATGCGCTACGTGGCAGTCTGTTAAGTAAGAAAGCGCCAAATTTCAAGCCGAAATTCGAAGAATTTATTCATTCACGCTTAAATGACGTTACTTATTACTGTCACTAAACGAAATACCTTGGTTCGTCAACTTCCAAACTTTTTCTTTATGCCTTCTTTCTGCTGATGCGTCGTGAAGTTGTTGCAGTGTGGACCGGAGTAATTAATCGGCAGCAGAACAGTAGAATTATTTCTACTCCGCTACGTGATTGGTCCGGAAAACTGGCGCCATTCTCTAAACCAATCAGATTTAAAACCAACATTGCGAACTGGTCACTTGCGTTTTCCCATGCTTCATCCGAGAGATCACTGATGAAAGGCATCACGGGAAAAAATGGGGAAGAAGGACAACTGTTCATGGACTACAACAGACTTCATACAAAACATAATCAAAACATTTAGACTGAATGCAACCATATGAATTCAAGAAAGCGATAATTGGTCTTTCAGAAGGGTTAGGCTAAGGTCTGTGCATGGTGAACGATTTCTTTTAGCCCAAATTTCAAGTTCCAATCCACTTTTATCCTCTCCTCTCCTTTCCATTCCTGTCAAATTTGTTATGAATTAGCAATCGATCTTGTGCAGCATCCTTTCAACAAATCTTTTATTGCAAAAAGTGAATTATCAATGCTGTTGCTTTCCCCAGACAAAGATATTACCTTTTCATCCAAAGATAAGCGGTCCTTGATTTATTAATAGCGGTCTCGCACGTGCTCAGCTCGACAAGAAAGCTCGTTTCGGATTTCAAAACGTCAGCGGCTATTTACGAGAGAAGGAAACTCGACCGATATGTTGTTTAAAGGGTCTTTTAACAATTAGGCTGTCGCCGAAACATTCACACTCTTTGATGTTGCATCCCCCTATAATAAAAATTCAAAAACTGTTGATAACCCCTCGATTAGAAGTCGTTAATTGCGCCTAATGAAAAAAAAAGTCCGGCCTAAATTTTTTAAGTCTGTCATAATATCCTTCACTTTCACTAAGCCATTCTCTTCATTTTTTTTTTTTGTTTTGTTTTATTTTTGTTTGTGTTATCTCCTTTATATGCCTCTGCAACACATCGCAATATTTATTCAAAATTTCAGTCTATTTTAAGGGCCAGCCTGAAGGAAAACAACAGGTAAGTCGGTACAAGGTATTCATTTCCGCCAGTAATTAAGGTAAAGCGTGATGAGTTTTCCACTGATATTCACAAGCGTGACTGTCGAACAAAATTCTGGTTTTCATAAATAAGCCACTAAAAACCAACCATTTCATAATCTCCTTTCTAAAAGACCACTATCCTCTCATGCAATCCCATCAATCGCAATAAAAACAAATCTTTTTGGCAGGCCGAACAAAAATGTGTTTCAGATGATCCATCCATTTTTGAGGTTTTAGCATTTTGTTCATATTTTCTTCGATTAAAAGCGATAGTGACAGTTTGTTCGTGACTTCTCGTTGACATTTCCGGTAACAAGAGTAATTTGGGAAGTAAAAAAAATAAACAACAATTATGAGTTGGTGCGGTGCCCAGCACAGACAAATTATTAGGAGAAGAAAATCTTGGACTGGACTTTCCAACAAACAAGGAAACTACAACGAACAGCTTTGAGTTAATTATATCACAGCTGTTTTTCTTAAAAAATTACAAAAAATCTACTGCTTCTCCTTCAAAAACCACTTATAGCTTTTCTCACCCCCTGGGAACAAAAGATAGAACATTGATCCATACACCTTTCAGCTCTATCTGTACATCGTCTGTCGCCAACGCAGTTATCGACAAAAAAACGAAGGACCGTGGAATCGCTGAGGAAGTCCAATAATTTTATCAGGATCTATACGACCAAGCCTCGGGGCAATAGAATTTGCTCGTGGTCTGATAACAAAATGCGGGGCTGTGTAACACATTTCTTTTTTCCGGCCAGACTTGGCAATGATACTAAATAAACAATACGTAAATGCAACAGAAGTGCAAGATGTGCTGATCAATTAACTACCCTTTCTTTCATGTACAATGTACCGTGTCTATCAGAATCATTTTTGCAACGCCATAAATAGATGCTGTATGTGTAGTGGATTTCGTTCATGGCTGAGGGATAGAAACTTGAATTTCTAACCAACACCGTTCTGCAATTGCAGTCCTGCTGCGAGGATCATTTCTTTCAGTTGACTGTGCGGTATAGCAGTTTCTGTAACTTTTTTTTTAAGAGACAGTGTACAGTATTCTTCCGTTAATTACCCGTTCCAGACCTTGGTCTTTGATCCAAAGGCGACAACATATGATCAGTTAATCGCTTTCTAATCAAGGAGAGATAAGAAGCAATCTTGCAAGAGACACGCAAGCAATTGGATTCACTGGAAGTCTTAGCATAAGCAAATTAAATTATAACGTTGTTTAATACTAATGATCACTTCAGGTGTTGAATTCAAACATCTCCCAAATCAAAGAAATAAGAGGTAAGAAAGAGCCTGCTTGTCATAACTGCACCGGTTAAGTTTTAAGCGGCGTTCTAAAAGCTTGATAGAGTGCTTTTATACACTGTTTCCTCTAATTTGTTTTTGAGAGAAATCTTTTTCAAGAAAGGCTCACATTATCAGAAAAGGAGTTGGTTGACTATACTAACACGTTTAAGTTTTTTATCACCTTTCAAGTTCCTACCGAGTAATCCGAAGCTTCATCGTCGAAACCTTTGCCTGAAACAAACATTTCTTTTGTTTTAACAAGAAAAATGTTTATCCCTCCTTGTTTACACATTTTACATCGTTAATTTTCCGGTTGTATTGAAAAAATCTTGGTGTAATAATGATGCATTTTTTATTTATGAAACAAGCGCTTTTGGATCGCATCACATGACTCATTCTAATGTGTTCATTTTTCAAATTGAAAGAAACATTTTTAACAGCAGTTTAGCGCTACGATCATGTTCCTCATTCCTCAAGTCCATTAGTCTTGACCATTCACATGTTTATAGGAATCTCGGTTTTCTTTAGGAACGCATAACTTGTCTTCGCCGGTAAATTTGTTGGCGCTGGTGATACTCTCGTTTGCTTATTGACCACACCAACTAAGATGGGCAGGCAGGGAAAATTTGCTGACATGTTATTCTGTTTTACAATTCTATTAAATGAGAGTTATAGGAAATTCTTCGGTTTTCTACGCTGATATCAACTCTTCAAATCTCCTTAGTTGCGTTCGTGTATTAATTAAATTACTACTCCTTAGAAGCAAACAAAACAATGTTGTTCCCTATTTGCAGTTTCCTGTGTTGTTCACTCTGATCATTATAACTTGTTGTTGCGAAGAGGAAATGGTAAAAGTCACTTCACAGTTTCAACAAGGTTAAAAGGCGTGAAGCCGGTTGACATGAACACATCTGTGGAGTAACCACCAAAGTCTTTCTACTAACAGAAATTAATCAACTTGTCTTGCTCCGATGTCATTTTTCAAGAGTCTCATTGACTTCCCAATATTCTCCGTCTCATGAACTCCCCCAACTTTCAACTATACCTACTTTGCGAGCTAAGCCCTCTTGAGTTTATTTCCTCTTTCTGTTCGTTTGAATAAAAACCCATTCTAGGATAAGAAATGCGCTTAAAAGAAGGTAGCCGAAACAGAATTATTGTAAACTTCAGCATTGAATGTTCTCCAAGGTTCAACGAACGGCCCTAAATCATCTGAGTAAGAGAGAAAATTGTGGTTGTTTACCTAATGTAGCGCAGCAACATGCTTCTCGTGTACATGCAACTTACCTTGTTCTTTGGTGCAGCAGTCTTCGACACGTCTTCCTTCTGTGTTAACAGAATACGCCACGCATCTTCCGCTTCAAAAGTCTTGGATGAGTAGAGAAATCTGACTGATACTAACAATGATGCGAGTGGAATTTAATCGGCATCACTTACTTATCATCGCAACGATGACAAAGGAGTGACCTCGTCAGAAATTTGAAACAATCAGACTTTGAATGTGTGCTTATCAAAAAATAAACGAACCAGATGCCAGATGATAAACTCAGTGAGTCAATATTAACACTTAAGAGCTAAAAAAAACTAGGAGTACAGAAAGTGGCAATCACACAAGAATCACCAGCGTGACCGACCCCCCAGTTGGGCAACTTCGGAGTAGGTCGAAAATTTTGAATAGCTAAAATAACCAAATGACATACAGTTGTTTTGTTGTAGGGAACATGTTTTGATCCGACAAATGCGCAATCCTTACTTTTTTCAGAAAATAGAAAGAGGATGAGGTGTCCTGGTGTTTCCGTCCATTAATCTTCTATGTCTACATAGCCTGACTAAGTCTTTAATCCCGAACGACGTTTTAAAAGTTCTTTGAAGAACGACACATGACTCCGGAATGTGTTAGGGCTAGCCGCGTGCATTTCTGCCAAATGCTGTCGGCATCAGTTCAAAATCCCTCGTCTAAAATTGCCCAGGAGTAAATGGTCAAATTTAATTTCAACCAATCAGTAGGAATTGATCAGAGAAGCCCAGAGAGCTCAAAGGATATTCTCGCGCAAGTGTTTGCTGTAAAATTAACGCGATAACAGTGCCGTCTGCTGACTCAACACAAGTTTGGGAAGACAAAGACGAAGTAAAGACTCGCTTTAAAGGCTTACGTCGTAAAAGTTGAATGGTAATAAACTCTTAGCTGCGAGTAAACGTAAGCTATCAAAACAATGTTATATGTCTTACACAGTCAAGCTGGAGCAAGGTATGCGAGAGCTGGTGACTGTAATAAGCGGTTATAAGTTCCCGAACAGAAGTAAAATACTCGAGTAATTTTTATCGTGCTCTCGTTATCAGCCTTTTGCGTTCCTACCGCGGTGTTTTGCTGATGAGGGACCTATGCTTGATTAACCAATTAAAAAAAAATGATTTGAGACGTAAACATGACCTTTGATCGTCGCAAAAGTTAAAAAGGTTTAGACAGGAAAAAAAAAAAACATCTATCAATAGCTGACTTGACAGACGGCATACGACTAATCGTCTGTTTTTTCTGTGGAGTCTCTTGATATTGATAACTGCGCATTAAACTTTAAAACTGAACAGTCGTAGATTTGCAGTCACAAGTTTAATTAAAAGTAACACATTTCAAAAGACAAATCGGGCAACAATGAAAAGACGGGTGGAACTCAAGGGAGGATCGCGCGCGAATCACGCGATTTCGTCCTGTGCTATCTCGCGTGACTCACAAGTTTTCTCACTTTGTAAAACTTGACATATTTTGTTCTTGAACAAGATACTTTGACCATGATTTATGGCTTGATGTCGGATTTCACTAGGGATAAATAAACACTCTGTCATTATTTCGCTTGAATGTCGAAGAAAAAATTGGAAAAGTGCTTCATTATTCGTGTTCGCCTTTAACAAGATAATTCCTTTGTCAAGTCCGGGGCGAGTGAACGGGGAGCGCTGATTTTCCTTCGAGGCTAGATCAAAGTAAACTACTGCAGGTTTCAAAGGGGAGGATCCAGTAGTCTGCGAAATATTTTTTGCAGGTCTGAACCTATCAATAACATCACTGACAAGGTGAACGAGAACCCTCACGAATGAAAGGTCCTAGCACGCGTAACAATAATGACGGTCAAAGAGACAGAGCAGGGTGTGCTTCTAGACTGAAACTTTTGTTTTCCCGACGGAAAAAATAAAACAGAACAGTGATGTATCCATCATATTGTTCACGTAATTGATTTAAGTTCAGGTCCCATGAATCACGCGCAGACCACATTTAAGAAGACTTAAGCCGTATTCTACTGTTGTTTTAAAGATATTTTAGGAGCTATTACACACTATTAAATTACGATAAAAAAACGAAAAGATTTAAAGATTAAAGCAAAAGCAAAACAAGGAAGGTCGAAGACGTAAGAGATAAGAAAATTTTCCACAAAGCGACGATAATTTTTTTTGTCTCTAATATTTTACATGAAGGGATATGAGGATATAAAGTTGAGAAAACTTCAGCCTCTGGTCTGTTTCTTCCAACCTTGCATTCCTGGGAGTTTTCTTTATTATCATTGTCACTATTTCCTTAATTTTTTCGGCGGAGGTATATCAGGTATGTCAGAAACTAGCGCTTTATGAAGGAAAGAGTGGTTCTGCAGTTTCGCCCTTTTTAAAACTCTTATAGGTGACCTAGGAGAATTTCTGCTTGAATTATCAAAACAAAACCAAGCAGGCAAGTGATAAGAACAGAAAAAAATATCAGTTAGGGGATTATTAGTTGATCCGATGGTAAGTTCTCCAAACTAACATCATCCGTTATATGACTAACGGTGAGGAGAATTTACTAATAAGATCTTGGGCGTGAAGAGTTATTATTACTTTGCCTTTTACGGTATTGATAAAGGCTCGCAACATTAGTTTGTGAAAGCAGGGTTGTAATTGTATGCTATTCCAATCGACAGTACGGCTTTTAACGATAAGGCAGGACGGATAAGATTTCACCAGCTTATCATGTCTGCTTCTTGATATGACTTAAGCCGGGCAATCATTTGATCGAATTTAGAAGGGCTTAGCTTATTACAATATGCAAATATATTTATGTCTCGGATAACTTCATTTCTAGGCAATGCGCATTGCTTCTACATAAAATCTCAAATATCCTTGACGCCTGCGCCATTAAAATTGAAAATGTTGAGATCAGATTCCGTGCAGCGAGAGAGAAATTGCTAATAGAAATGTTTTTCCTCGTACTCTGAGTATGCAGAAAGCGGAATGCAAACATCAAGTTTGCGTATTTACTGGATGATTTGCCTCTACCTCCAACGTAAACTTCCTCCATCTCCTTTAATACGTTCTCGAAAATATGATTTTCATCCATGGTCAAAAAGGTAAAAGCAAAACTCAAAGAAATTTTGGCGAATAATGCAAGGAAAGGGAACACTAGGCTTTGAGACTGACACCCTCCTAAAGACCTTAATTCTAATCCAATTCCTCTACAGTTATTCTAAGATCAGTCCCGTGTAGCGAATTTTGTTCTCGTTTAGATTACATACAGCGTGTATTCGCGAGGTATAACATATACCTTGCGTGTCCGCCGCGTGTCGCCTCGCGTGTCTCTGTAACCCTGATTCTGAGAGTAATTGAAGAAGGCCAACACAAAACCTCAGTATCTCAGCTTGCGCATCTTATTGCAGCGCTTATGACATATGGGGTGGTGTGAAGCACCACGCATCCATCCCCACGACACGCATCCGTCAGGTGCTCTGAGCATTCATTCCTTTCAGTCTTGTTAATCAACATAGAGTTATCGTCGTGGAAGATAGTAAGACCAGTACACAATGTTGAACAGTCCGTAAAGAAGTGGAAAGATTTTCCGCGCGTACTGGTCAATGTAATGAGGAGGTAACTGTTTCGTGGGTAGACCGTCCAAAAAGGCATTGCTCGCGCAAGGAGTCTTTTTCCTCGATGCAGAAAGATTTTCGTGAAGAAAAACACCTTTTCTTAGAGACAAGCCTCCTGCGACTCCGTTCAAAGGACGGTCTTTGTTACAGTTGAACGTTTGCTGGTCCATCATCTCGGCGATAGAATTTGTTGGATTTGGTGTTGGAGGCTGAAGAGAAATTATTAATTGAACATTAGAGCGATTTGCAATTGAGTATTGTTAAATCAAAACCAAAGCAATCACAACAGCCAATCACAGCAAGGAAAATGTCACCAGGAGCCAATGAGAAGACGAAGTAAAAACAAGTCACTGCCTGAAGCGCGGGAAAACACGAGTGACCAAGATGGGATTGGTTGAGAAAGTGGTGTGAGTTTTCTGTACTAATCACATAACTAAATACAATAAAACCAAACCAATCCCGGAGTTCAACACTCAGTTAAAGATTGCTCTGGACTATGATTAGTTTGGTTGATCAAAACAAACTTTACGACCAACAGGCATGGCAACAATCAATCACAGCAATACATCGCTCCATCGCTCCATCGCTTTAAAGCTATGCATTGTTTACAATTATGCAGACAAAGATAGGTATAAAAGTAGCTTCTGGACTGAGATTTGAAAATAGCGCAAAGCGATGACCAAAGCTATGTCCCCGTGTGAATGAATTCAACGACTGTTCCGTCCACACGAGCCTGATGATCAGTGAAGGAACGTTCACCTGTTATAATTTACTAGACATTTCGTCGAAGGAATTCCGACTTCAAAAGAAATAGTTTCTATCATTTGCACACCCAAATTCCAGACATTAAGCCAGCAACATAGCTGGTATATTTTTAAACACAGACACAATAGGATTTGCGGGTAAGTTAAGTTCATTTGCGGACAGGAGAAAGTATATTGACATTTCAACAAAGATTAAACAACTGATGACACTCACCGGCGCCAGACTTTGACTCCTCAGTAAGAGAGATGCTGCTTTATCCGTGAAGTTTAAGACACACACATACTCCACCATACAGCACACGATAAAAGTAAGCGACGATATTAAATAGTAATCTACTGCCTTCAGGTACGAGATCCGAGGGAGACTGTTGTTAACTGATCCGAATAAGAACATGGTGCTGAGTATGCACGTGATCACGAGTGAGACACGTGCAGGAACAGCGTGTCTGTCTATCCAGAAACTAAGCCACGAGAGGAAAACGAGGAACGCAGAAGGAATGAAATGTTGAAAAATGAAGTACGTTGTTCGACGTTTGAGTGTGAAGGTTGCCTTCAAACTGTCGAAGGACCCTTCGGAGGATAAAAAATTGTAGAAAGTTAGGCTTAAAGGTTTCTTTAGGCTAGGCGGACAGGGAAACCACCGACACAAAAACCGGACACCTTCATATCTTCTCCATTTCTACTTATCTCCTCCGGTCCCCCGGTCCCCCTGTCCCCTTGTCCCCTTGTCTTCTTGTCCCCTTGTCCCCTTGTCCTCTTGTCCTCTTGTCCTCTTGTCCCCTTGTCCCCTTGTCTCCTTGTCCTCTTGTTCCCCTACCCCTCGTACCCCTGTCCCCTTGTCCCCCTGTCCCCTGTCCCCTTTGTTCCCATTGTCCCCTTCTCACCTTGTCCCCTCGTCCCCTTGTCCCCTTGTACCCCTGTCCCCTTATCCCCTTGTCCCCCTTGTCCCCTTTTCCCCTTGTCCCCCTTGTCCCCTTGTCCCCTTATCCCCTTGTCCCCCTTGTCTCCCTCACCGTACTCCCCTTCTCCCTAGCTCCCCCTCCACAGAAATGCTTCAAGCCTCTAAAAGCCTCACCTTTGCTATTAGTATTAGCTTTCTTGGATGTAACGATCTGTAGCATATCAAACTGAGCAAGTTCAGCTGCGAACACCTCGATAGCCTTAGAGCCTCGATTGTTCCAATTGTAGATAACATCGTCCACAGTGTATGCATCTGCAATAACAAAGTTGGAGCTATCACTGAAATTCTTATCATTCACGAACAAAACTGGCCGAAGAGGATAACAAGTATCACCAGCAAGAGAAGGCGATCAACCATAAAGGCTTAAAGGGGATAGATTTCAAAAGAAACTGTGGTGCTGCACCGGTGGGAAGTAAAACACGATAATTTGGTTTTATCGACCAAGTTGATAAAGTAATTGGCCAGTGCAAAGCGTGTCTAAAGCTGACGTTTCGAGCTTTAGCTATTCGTCAGAGCGTCACCAGTACGGTGGTCTGTTTGAAAATACCTCATTATTATAAGTTTTTGAACAGTTCTTCCTAAAGCAATCTGCTATTATGCTTACATTCCAAAAAAGTGGCTGAAGGTCGCTCTCACCATAAGAAGATCTAATCAGGTTAAATTTTTTTTTGTACTGTATGTGTTGTTCTTGAACTGTTACTGTTTAGCACTGTTTAGTACGAAGTTCATTTCACTCGCACCTCACCGCAATTTAAAAGTGTGTTAAACTGAAAAGTTTATTAATTTCTGAACGCTGTGCCGATGAGAACGTGTATTTTAAAGTATATATACTTACAGCTCTCTATTACCAAATCACAGTCCTGAGTGTCCAGAGGGAACAGCCTTAGATCCATATCACACAGAGCAGTGAGAGTTATCCTGATAGAAGGAGCAAGTGACGAATCAACTTTCATCCTTTTTCTTGGGTGGGCTGCGGGTGGGCTTATTACTATAAGCAGCTGGTAACTCTGTGGTAGTTTCATTTAGGGGTTCAGAAATTCCAAAAGTACCTTAACCCTTTAACTCCCATAAGTGACCAAGATGGTTTTTCTCCTCACAATATCCATACAATATCAAGCAGACGATTGATGAGAATAACGATAAATATAAATTTGGGGATTTATTAGTAGATACAACACAAATTCTCCGAACCAACATCTGAAGAGTTGTATGGCAGACAACAAGGAGATCTTACCTTACCCCACCCCCCTCCACTCAACCCAAATATATTAGAGAAAAAAGATGTTTTAGGGAAAAGTGATGTGCAATGGTAACATGACAACTGGTATGCCTCTAATTGCCGGATGGGCGCTGATGTAAGACACCAATATAAGAAAATGTGGTCTATGCCCTTGTTACTCTACGTTGAATCACTGATTTACCTGGCACTGTAATAAATGCTTCCATCCTTAGAAATCCTCAGTCGCATGTTATCTCTACTGACTGAATGATAATTTGAATTTTTTACGTTTCGGAAATACGTGTCGGGCGTCCATATTCCTTTTCCCAGTTTACTAGGATCTAATGCGGCGTTAAAAACTTTATCTTGTCCATGCGCCAATCGAGGATCTTTCCACCACTGTCTGAAGAATATGTCGATTGTATAGTCCTTATTAAAGTGAAAGATGACATAATTGTTAAATAATTGTTCTATGAATGAAGCCCATAAATGCTACCTTACATAGCTATAAACAAAACAAGGATATTTTTTGACTTTCATCTTCCCAAAACTTTTCCACTAATTTGTTCATAACTGGAGCAGGAGGATGGTGGATGCCGATCCAACTTTCCTTTCTGTATACAAGCGAGCATATAACGGGTTACCAAAATACCAGTTCGTCCTGTTTCCGGCAGACTTACTCATGAAAAGCTGTGATGCCTTAATGGCACTAAAGCTCTTTCTAGATTCGTCCTCTTTCGCTCTCACGTGGTACTGATTACTAGGAAAATTGAATCGCAGTGAAATTTCTTTCAACTTACCATATCTTCTTCTCTGATTTTTCCAAATGCCATTAGTTTAAACTCGATAAGAACTTCAACAGGAGGTCCTACAAAATAAATGGTCCGATAATGACTGTGTTTAAATTTGTTGTGTCTGTTTGACCCCTAAGAGTGATTAGCATCTAATTTATCCGTCGAATATCACTCCAGAAGCACACGTTAAGGTCACGAGAATTAAGGAGATGATCACGCGCCAACTAAAGCAGCTCTTGCCGGATTTTTCAACAAATTCCCCCTTGTCAGCACCAACAGCAACACAAACCGTATGGAGAATATACATGCTAACGATAGAATGTAAAGGGTTTAAGGATTTTGAAACGACCCTTGACACTTGTGTGGCAAGCTTTGAGGTTTCTAGACAAAAGGAAACGAAAGTACTGAAGAATCTGAAAATTCGTGGACCTTAAACAACTGACAAATGCGCAGGCACGAAATACTAAAATTGCATGTAATATGATAACTGTTGAACCGCTCGTAACGTTAAGAAAATAAGTCAAATATATCAACAAAAATATATATATATATTCCAACAAGCCTCACCCGTGTCGTTTGGGCGAACATTTTTATCGTAATGTTTCAGTCGTTTGCCGATAATATGAGATACTTTAGCGTACGATCCGTCGGGAAACTGGGCTGCTATTCAAAGGAATGAAAAGATGTCGTTATAATCGTTTTACGAGCTGTAATTAACTGATGAAAAAGGATGCAGTCCAACTAAAACATCCTCAAAGATGGCGGTTTGCCCACAAAGCTCTGTAAATTCCTATCATCCCTCTCTATTAGCCGTTAACTGACATACAATTTTCAATGGCCTCACTTAAGACGACTCCGCCCCCTCCCCCCCCCCCCCCCCACCAAACCCCAAGGCGAAATAAACCAAAACGCGAAAAAAGGTACAACTCACGGGTGACTGGTGTGGTTCCCGTGCAACAAAAAAAAAGGTACAACTCAAGGGTGACAGGCATGGTACCCTTGCAAAAAAAAAGTACGACCCACGGGTGATAGGTATGGTTCCTGTGCACCAAAAAAAGGCACAACTTACGGGTGACAGGTATGGTAACCTTGCAAAAAAAGGATGCAACTCACGGATGACAGGTATGGTTCCCGTGCAACCGAAAAAAGGTTACAACTTACGGGTGACGGGTAAGTTACTCATGCAAAAAAAAGGGCACAACTCACAGGTGACAGGTATGGTTCTCGTGCAACAAAAAAAGGTATAACTCACGGGTGACAGGTATGGTACCCTTGCAAAAAAAAGGGTACAACTCACAGGTGACAGGTATGGTTCTCGTGCAACAAAAAAAGGTATAACTCACGGGTGACAGGTATGGTACCCTTGCAAAAAAAAGGGTACAACTCACGGGTGACAGGTATGGTTCCCGTGCAACAAAAAAAGGCACAGCTCACGGGTGACAGGTATGGTTCCCGTGCAACCGAAAAAAGGGTACAACTCACGGGTGACAGGTATGGTTCCCGTGCAACCGAAAAAAGGTACAACTCACGGGTGACAGGTGAAGTTCCCGTGCACAAAAATGAGGGAGAATACCGAAATTCCCTTTTCATTCTGGAAAAAATATATAACTCTGTTTAGATTAAGCTATCTTGCTACCTTTTTAGCTGAATATACGGTATACCTTTTCTTTTGCTGCTTCCTGTCAAAGTACTATTAAAACTCCTGGGCAGTCGTTTAAAACCAGCTCCTGGGACACTCCTGACAATAAAGTCATAAATGGTTATTTGGGATGGGTGTGTAGGGATGTTATCTGTTTGCAGAATAGCTGACAGCCCACTCATTTATAAAACACCGGCACAAGTTTTTAGCGAATAGTTTCAATGCTGACGGTATATCTGTTCAAAAATAGATCACAGCTGATACCCAATAAAGTATGTGTAGAATACTGCTTGATATTACGCAACTCATCTTGTATCCCAGGCTCTGATTCAGCTTTCAGGTGAAAAACAGTTACAAGGCTAACCACTAATGCTAGCCACCAACGCATAATTGCGGATTGGAGCTCATTGCCTTATTAACACCTCTAGGGACCTCAAAAACTATTGTTAAGTTACATTTTGGATGCGTGACAAAATTTGTTTTTGATGTTTTTGCAGTTGAGTTATTACTGCTTTTGTTGTTGTTTTTTTAAAACAAGTAAGTCCTGCAGGGTTTAACCGAAACAAAAGATACACCATAAATGTAAATATCACCATGTCTCATTTATAACAATTCATTCACATTCCGTGTTAAAGTGGTCGCTGCGGTTAGCTGAATTTCCAATCCGAGTCCCTACAAACACCACTTTAAAATACAACAAACAATACTTGAACAGTCCATTTTTAGGATTACTCTTAAGGCCGTCACGAATACGCTGTTACTGTTTTTCGAATTCTACAATGAGGTCAAAAGTACTTGAAACGCTGAACAATGTAACGACCAATGATAAAGTCCTTTTTACTTCATAAATTCTTTTTGGATTCTAAAGGTGATCAGAAAAAGAAGTTCTATGGATAAAATTGAACTGTGTATTGGGTGGGAAGGGGCGGTGCATACGAGAAACAACCCATTCCAAGATTTAAAGATTCTTCCGTTGATTCAGCTCCATGCAAAATCTAAATTTGTAGAACTTTATGCGCTTCTCAATACTTATCTGTACAAAGTGTATAAAAAAGATGCTGACTCAGTTAACTATTGCATATGATGGCCTCCGGCTCGGCATTGAGGGAATCGATGTAGTACAATTCTTCTACTTAATGCAAATACAATACCTTAACCGCACAGACTGGAAACGATCCAGTCAAGCATAAAATACGTAGTCAAGACCATATCATCAGTTTTATGATCTTGTTTTAGGATTGAAATTTCGATAAAATACACTTGCAAAAAATTGCGTTCCCATTAGTATATCTTCAGAATAGCCAATTTTAGACCCAAACCTCCTTTCCAAGGTGCGGAGTGAGGAAAATAAGAGCGGAAGCATTCCCAAAGAATTCTCACAAATAAAATGAAAGAAATGAAAAAAAACAAAACCAAGAGGGCGGAAAATGTTAGGGGCGTCATGAACTCATCATACGTTCGTGCCCAAGGATTATCAAACATCATGCTAGAAGGAAGAGATACTGCCGGCTATCTAATCTGAAGCCTTAGAGAATAAATCCAACTAAAAGTTTGGCTACCATTTTATATCGAGAAAAAATAACGTCATCGTCATTTCGCCGAAAAATTTAGATGAATTTTGAAAATTTGCAAACTTAACTAAGAGAAACACGATGATGTGCGGAAAATACCGCACGTAAACCGTGCGCTTATCAGTAGTACGTGCTGGGCCGCCGGCTGCGAATGACCGCGTTCTCTCCTTTATACCTGCATGTGTTGTAGGCTTAAAGTTATCACTGTTGGTGTCAAGCAGCGAGATACCTCTTTTTTTGAGTAAATTATTTACATTAAAAAGGTTCTTACATCATTCAGTTTTGGAAATAACGGACTCTGAATTCACTTCCTGTCCAATATGTTTCTGTCATGTAGCCATGTTTTAAATTTTAAGGTTAGTATGAACACAATTCCAGCCTGGAGACTCAATACAAAATAAAATATATAGAATATTGAATGTGAACAATCAATCCTGGCTTGGAAATTTGATTTTCACCTGATTTCCGTCGGTCTGTCCGACAAGACGACTGTCCGTTCAAAATTGTAAAGCCTTTTTCAGGAAAATTGCTTTATTGTATTCTCGTGCAAAAACTACAGAATGAAAGCTCTGCTTTTAGACTCGGTAGAATACATAAAACTGTATGTTTAATATAGGAGTGGTACCAAAACAAAAGTGCATCGAAAAACCGTAACAACCTTACACCTATTTATGAAATTGCTATCTCATATTTTAAATTCAAACTCGTTATATATTTCGTCGTATTGATATCAAGAACGAGTAAGACTCATAAGTGTGAAAAAAGGGAATCGTCACTTACTAAGTTCGTGTTGTGATCTGTTGGACTCGTTAGAATTTTATCTTTCAAAATCCTCCATAGTTTTATAGGGAGAAACTCTACCAAGTACAACAAGCCGAAAAATATTTCTTTCCCTTTTCACCAGAGTATTCATTCAGGTGGGAAAAAAAGTCAGTTAGGTATTCAACAGAAATGGTCTTTCAGCTTCATGTAAATACAAAAGTTTTGGTGTAGCTAGCATGAAATAACATGGAGTGTAAGTTAAACGGTAACTGAATGACACTTTTGTAGCAAGTCAGTTCTTTGTCTGTGATATGCGTAATTGAAGAAGGAAGACAGGAACAAATTCTGCGTTATAAAATACAAAACAATTAATTTCATTTGCAATGATAAACAGTAAATTAATTCGGAAAGAAGTAAATTTTTAATAATCCTCTTTGGTTCTATATTTAGAAATACGTCAAGAATTATCAAAATATTCGCCACTGTTGCTTCAAAAATGTATTTTAATTTAGATTTATTTTCCTAATCTATTTTCGCTTACGATCAAACTGATAATGGTTATGCCGAGACCTCCCTTTACATTCCCATCAAAAAAATTAACTCTCTTACAGTGGGTGTCCGACGGAAAAAAACCGTGTTTCCGAGGAAGTTTTGTCGTTCAATTGAGATCCATTGATCTCAGTTTCGTAGCTTACACGCCCCTATTCATATTTTTATAATGCAAAATAAAAACACCTAAACTAAACGTGTATGAACCATTTTTAATGTCCTTAAACATCTCAAACGTGCGAGCTTTCTGTGAACCATTTTTTTAATGAAAAATCTCCAATTTGAGTACTCAACAGTAGAGTTGAATATCAGAGGAGAAAGTTAGATGTAGTTTATAGTGAGAAAGTACGGTCGTTTCGAGGTACTTCAATTTCTACTGTACATTGTTTATGCCATTATGTTACCATAACTAAATTACTTTCATTATGGGTTTTAAAAAAAAGGTGACAAAATACACGAGCGACTGTTGAGTTTTTTTCCACTTTGACAGTTTTGTACGTTCCCTTCAGAGCGGTTATTTCGCATTCAAACTTCATATAAATAGAAAGATTGTTTTGTAAACTTCGGGCATTTTTCTGGTCAGCTTGGCGTCCCACGCTGTTTTGGGTATGACAAGAAAAACATAGTCGAGAATCGCAGTCGGTATTCCTGAACAATGAGCGTTGAAAATATTACGCAAGAAGGAAAAGGGTAAACGAAACATTGATAGTTTCTTTAGTGCGAATCTGAATACTTTCAAGGATATTTTCTAGATAATTAAATATATATTCAGTGTGAATTTTTCTCATTATTTACCTTGTTAGTAGTCCGTGAAAGAATGTTATAATTAGGAACCAGATAACGACAGTTCCCTTCCTCGTTGTAAACGAAACTCCCATACTGCTTTGAGCGGGTTTTCTAAGGAGAGATAACAAGGTTTAGTGTAAATAATGTGTTAGTATAATAGAGCGACCGTGTGTTCAATGAAACGTTTTTTTCTAAAGAGAAGCTTCAACTCACTGGCCTCCTATTCTAGAATCTTTCAACAGCTATTAATATCAATAAGATTCATTTTTCGACATCGTTTCCCATTGGCCAGAAAAATTAAACATCCTTTTTCACGCTTATTGGCTAGCAGGTGTAAATTGCCTCAAACACATTGAATTAAAAATAAGTAATGCTACAAGATATAAGTCTATTCAAAAATAATTACTAAATCAGCTCTTCGGGAATGGAAGATTGAAACAAAAAGCAAGAATCGCTAAAATGCCACTAAAATTTGAGAATACCATTAAATTTAATTGCATTGTTTACTGCATTGGAAATGTCTCAAATTCGTTTCAGTCAAAACGTATTTGTGAGGTATTACCAATGTTAATAATTTAGTAGTTATGTAGCATTTGGTTCACAGTTTAGTCAAAGCTTTTTTTCCGCACGATCATTTTAAAAGGAATCGTAAAATCTAGAAAGGTTTGTTTTCGTCACGAAAGGAATACATTGCTGTTAATATTATTGAAGTAACAGATGCTTTAGTTTGTAATAGACAAACTTTGCAAATCAAATATTTGCCTCGATTAGTGACGAATGATTAGAATATTCATGAATAAATCGATTTTCGATCATGATTAGCGTCCTGTGTGATACTCTTACCGCTAGCCAAGAGCTAAACACATTATAGGCACACTATCGAACCATTAATTAATAGTGAAGGGAAAAAGATAAACACTTCCTCGAAAACGAATCAGATAAGTACAAAATGTCTACAGAGTCTCACTAGCAATCTTGAGAGTTAGATTAGCGCGTTTTGAATGATGTACTGAAACTCTCCATGAATTAATGAAATGTTCCCCCATAACTGAAGGTAGATCATAGTACAACCTTTGGAATTTAGCGATTCGACAAACATTGGGCATAGATTTGTGTTTACACATGTACAATGACGTCATAAAGACTATTTTATAACAATTATAAAAACATTTCATTTATTTCATTTATTTCAATATTCAAGCACACCTGACGTTGCTAGCTTTTGAGTTTCTCTGGGTCAAATGACGAGGTCATAATCGTGTCAGAGGTTGCAACCCAAAGTGTTCGGTTCTAAAGAGTAATCTTGTTCAGTAGATTGAGTTCTGAAAAGCTCTTTAAATGATTATCTTAGAAAAAAGAAAGAATGTTTAATACAAACAATCTTTAGTTCGTGAACAAAATGTCTACATGTGAAGCGTTACTCATACACATCTACTGGTCTCTCTGCACTTCATTTACTCCGCTTAAATGAAAAGAATGAAAAAACTGGCAACTTAACACTTACTTTAGAAAAATTCACAAAGGAAGATAAAAGCAATTTTTCGAGATTTGCCGAAAACATGAACTCATTTGTTAGCGAAGGTCAATCGCATCTTGTTATCATTCTAAACTCAACCTAAAACACGTTTTTGCACTAATCAATTATGCTTGATTTGTCCAGTACATGTACTTTATCATAAAAAACCCATTGATTTATTTAAGTCGACCAGTTTTAAAATGCGATTCGCGATACGATCAGAGAAAAAGATTAAACAGCCATTGCTCTTAACATTAAAATAAATTCAAAAGAATATTTTGGCTCTGTACATATTTTGAATTGTGCAATAAGCAGTTAAATGACATATTTTTTTTTTTATCTTTTCCCATCTTTCATCAGTGAGCCAATTTACATCGATAATTTAGATATGAAAGAAAAGTCCATTGGTTTGAATAAAAAAGAAGTTTTTCCCTGTGCGAATTATTCCCAAAAACAGTAAGTTTCATAAAATTACTGAGATAAGACGAGCGCCCTGATTGGTCAAAAACCTATCGTCTATGCACTCGAAAACTTTGTAAATCATTCGCCTCTGGCCCGTACTTTACTAACTTTTTGCATGTTCTCCTAACATCCTGTGTGGGTCATTATGCCAACAGACTGATAGGAAGTGCTGTCTATTGGTTAATTTAGTTTTCCTTACTCTTGAATTGAACGAGGAAAAGTCATTTAATCAAAAAAATTGTTTACGAAATGAACCGTTGTAATACTGATTTCTAATGGAATAAATATATCTTCGAGAAAAATGATTAAACTTTGGTTACCAATCAAAATTATCAATTCAGAGCATGCTCTCGTAGGAAAATATGCAAAGAACTCCGGCTCTGTTGCTCAAAAGTCGAAAAGATTCCTATTGATGTTGTCTCTTACAGTTTTCGTGATTCATGCAACGGAGTAAAAATTATATCCCGAAGTCCATAGCAAAGAAACGTAATGAAGACATCATTTTCCCTTTTCTTGACCCTGGACATCGCTAGCATTAATGATCAAATTCCAGATGAAAAAAATTTCGCCCGAATTGAGCTTTTTCGGGATAAACTTGAGTTTAAATTTACAACAAAGCAATTGCTAAAAATCAGAGTCTAACGAAAAAATTTTCCATTTAAAAAAAATCTCTACTTCTTCTTTCTCTTGAAAGAGTAGAAACCTTCCCACGGTAGTTACAACTAAGAAGTGATTTGTAAATAAGTTTACAAAACTGAATAATGGTTCGTCTCGGAGACGTGAAATCAGACACAGCGTATTTTTTTTTTCTTTTTTTTTTTGTGCCTGAAGTTAAAAACGATTTAATTGGTATAGCCATTAAAAAAAAATCACCGTTTACTTTTCGTCGAAACGAAGAAGATTGATATATTGAAAATCTACGCAGGCAAACTTTTCACGCATAGTTATAACAACCCGAATCTTTATATAATTGCCGAATAACCTAAGACATACTGCAGCAATATTCAATAGAGAACTGTCTTTATTTAGCCTGCAATGGCGAAATTTCCTTAAACCTTTGATTCCTTCAACAACAAAAAAAATGATATGATTTCGTAAGTAAATTGTTAAATACAAAAAGCTCTTACCTCAATGAAGAAAAGTTTTGTTAGTAGTTTTGCAGTTTTGACTTGAGGCGTCTTTTCGGAGCCTTTCGGTGGTGAGTCAAGCTGAAATGAACTTCAAAATAGCAGGAGATATCAGCTAAATGGATATACCTCACAAAACGATTGGCTTTGAAGCTTCAAAACAACATCAGGCAGATGTCTTAAAAATAATTGCACATGGAAGACCGACTACAAGCAAATGAGAAATACACGCTTTAGCAGTAATGTTTTCGTTAATTTACGTTCATAAAGTCAAGGTGGCTGGTTGTACAGTAACCCAATCTTGGAAAATTGAAAAACTTTTCAGCAATTGAAAAACTAAGTGTAATTTAAATTAAATTTGAAGACACTGTGAAACATTCGCCGAGTCATATTTTCCTTCGAGAGGCATCTAATGAAACATCACGATAAGCTTAAAAGAAGGCAAAAGAACTCTTAAAATTACAAGCTATTTACTCAAGTAGATAAAATATTAACGGGAAATCAAAGAGAAAAAAAATGCAATAACCGTTAATTCTAAGATCAACAACCTGCTCATTCAAAGAAACCGACCAGGAAAACATCATAGCATACTTAACATTTCATTCCTCACAAATACAAATGTAAAAACATACTCAGAGGACACATGTTTTTAAAAAGAACCAGCGGTCAATTTACCGTAACTCAAACTTAAGATTTGCACTCATATCTTTGTTGGAAGACAGACTTAAAGCGCTGTTGAAGGAGAGACGGTCTTCGTCTATTGAAGCTTGGCTGATAACATACTAACTTACCTCAACAGAAAGCTGGTTACTAGTCTTGCTTTTGAGACCAAAAAGAGAGAATAAAAGCTTTCTTTGTTTCGTATTTTTCAACTCTAAGCTTTGGGAGGGACCACTAACGGGAAACGTTATAATTGTTGCGGGAACGTTATTGATTAAACGACAACCAATGCGTGATTTACTGTTGCGGATTTAAGATAACCTGCGGTTATTTATTGGTGATGTAAACCATTAACGTGATTTTTAAATGTCAATTTTGCCCCGTTAAAACGTTCAATATTTAGAAATGATTTCAAATTATTTCGCTTCCATCAAAATCGATGTTGTTGGTAGATCACGTATTAAGCACACAGAAGGTTTTTTTTTCATTACAATGAAGCACTAACACATAGACAAATGTTTATTGCAATCACATAAATAACCAATGTACGTGACCATCGTAGAATAAAATCAGGCTAGATCTCTGTAATAATAGAATTCTTCAATCCCGAGCTCACAGAGCTCTGTAATATTTGCTACTTTATCATTTTGCTCGGTTTCGCTAGGTCAGAAGTGTTGCACCCACTCCGGCAGATCGAGACTTCCTTTTCCTCAACGGAAAGCTAAAATTCAGCTACTGACTTCACTTCAGTATTAGTTTATTAGTTTTTTTTAATTAGTTACTATGCGAAATTAAGATGTTCCTACGTTTGTCAAGAGCCTGCGGCGAAAAGAGCCCCAAAATAAAAACCATTTCCTGAGAGCAACTGGTAAACACCAACTAGTTAGATCACGGTCTTCCTAAAAATCCATCAGGTTTCTTGTTTTACCAGAAACTGTTCCTATCACTACACTGGTATAAAATATTGACAAAAATACTCCTACTTTTAAAATTAAAGTCTATCTACATGCTATCTATGTTGATGATAATTTCAAGAGGCGCCTATGGTATCACTAAAGCAATTCATATAGTGGATATGCGCAAGACTCTCAAAATTACGACGTTTTTCTTTTTGAGATACCTAACTTCTGCGTTTATTTAACATCTGGCGTCATCTGGGTTTTACTTCACAATTTCACATCTCCCTCGAGGGAGTACGTTTCGGCTCCTATATTTGTTCTGAAGGTTGAAAATATACGTTTTTCTGCACTGCTGGTTCCCTGTAAAACCATGTCGAGAGTAAAACATTCACACTCTTGAAGGCCAGGTCTGTTTTCAAATCAACACAGCAAATGAAACTATTGCTTTTAAGTGTTTGTGGCTCAAATTACGTAGCGCTCCTATTACCCTAGGTCTACTTCGCTCGATCGCTAACGAAACATTCCGACCTTTGATTCAGTCGGTCATTGCCAGTGTCTTTAAATGTACAAACATCCACGAGAAATTGAAACTTTTACCGAGATAATGAACAAGTAAAATTATTAAATTCTTCTTTCGACATTATTGTTATCTACTTATCATAACGGAAAATCCAGTTACCACAACAGCAACAATCACCAACATTGCATGAAAACCGAAGATACAATATCTACTTCTGAGAGTTTTTTGTTAATGAACTGACGCTGGATGACAATGAACCTCTTCCACAGCGTGGTACTGTTGCCATTTCCCATCCTTCCGACTGTGGTAGAAGACCCTCTCACAGGTAGGATCTACGGCAAGCACATTGACCTTGGGTTCCACTGGTGACGGATCAAGCCATGATGCAACAGAACGAATTCCACCGGTTTCACAGCGAATCTTGTTCAGAAAGTAACGGTCTTTCTCTGCAGAGTTACAACAGCCTACTGTTTATTACCAGAACCCGTGAAATACATCCAACAAATTACAGAGCTTATATGTGGTTACATTGTGTTTGGGGTCACTTGAAAAATTTTTACTAGCACTGGAAACAAACAAAGAATTTCCAAACAAATTTGATAACGTAAGTCAGTGCTTTGAGCAAACAGAACTAAATAGAACCTCGTTAAAATTCATATTTCGCTTCTTGTTGATCATTTTGAAATATTTATAAATAATAATGGAAATAGCAGTTGCAATGCCATCAATTAAAAAAAGAAAACCGTAGTTGTGAGTTGACATGTTAACTCAACTTAGCTAACTCACGCACCGCCACCGCCCCCCCTTTTCCCGCCACCGCCCCCCCTTTTCCCGCCACCGCCCCCCCTTTTCCCGCCACCGCCCCCCCCTTTTCCCGCCACCGCCCCCCCCCCCTTTTCTGCCACTTCTAAAACAAAAACAACAACTAAACAGTGTTAGGGTCCATTATTACTCAGTAGGGAACTCCAATTTCCTTTTCGTTCATCTATTCCTCTTAAGCCATTTTTTATTTTTTTGCAACGTTTAAGCGTTTTTCACCCAACTTTTTGCTTAATAACCAGACATAAACACAACATTCGAGTGTTGGCTTGAGCACAGGATTAGGGAGCTTTCCGCACGGTCTGTTTAATAATTCTCTTTACCCGCTTGCTTAACAGGGTGTTAAGATTGGTAGAGGAAATAACATTCTGGTCAATCCTGTAAATCGGAGGGAAAAGTAAAAGAGCAGATCAAATGTTTAAATACCTACCTGTTCCATTTCTTTTGTCGAATCTCAGGCTTAATTTCTTTTTCAGCTTTTCCCATGTAAACTCCAACCCTTTCACAATAACTTCGTCCTTGGAAACAAAACAGAGAAGAGTCAGATTTAGAGAAACAACTGAAATCATTGTGTTTGTTAGCTTCGTGATTTAAGATCCTGCGAAAATCGAGGACAAACGAGCTCGCGTGACAACCCAGCTTTGTGATTTTGGAATATTTTTCATTTAAGTCAATTATTATAAATTCTTTCCAGAGCGAATTTCGATTGAGCTTCGAAAAGGCCACAAAAAAAGGGTCCAAAATGGCCAAACACATTCAGTGTAAGGAAAATGCCATAAGGAACCACTGAGATCTCAAAGTAAAAACGAGCAAACTTCTTGCAACGCGGGAAAACACGAGTAATCATTTTATTTGATAAGAGGCGCTAATAGGGAGATGCGAGTTTTTACGACCAGTCGCACGGCGAAGTAAACCGCGTTTCCCCGCGCTTTAGGCATTTAGCTTGTTCTTACTTTCATTCTGATTGGCTCCCTATAATATTTTCTTTCGCTCTGATTGGCTGTTATGGTCACTTTCGTTTTAATTCTGCGACACTAAATCGGAAAGCGCTCTAATAGAAAAAGAACTCTTACGTCCGAATCCTTAGGATAGAATTTAAAGGTGAGCGTGTGGTCTTTAATACTATTAGCTCTGCACTTGGCTTTGACGTATGGAGAACTTGGAGCTAACATCAGGGCACAAACGACAGATGCGATTGCCAGGAATACAGTTACTGCAAGCAGTTTTTTCCACAACCCTAAAAAATGAAAAAATACAACATTATGCATTGGTGTCATTGTCCGAACTCTGATTGGTGCCAAGCGTACAACTAATTCTTTCTCACACTCACACACAGATATTTTGTTAACCCTTTAACTCCCAAAATTGGATTGTCATGTCAATTCTCCCTTCTAGCTGCTACACATTTCGTTGTAAATTTGTTACAAGAATTCGGCGTTGGATCATTATAATATCTCGTACCTGATAAGCCTGAGTATTCTCACGACCAGTTCGCTGGATAATGTATGGATATTATAGGGAGAAGTTATAAGTTAATCACCTCTAAGAGTTAAAGGATTAATATCTATATACTAAGATAGTTCCCTGTCATGTGGTAGAAACGTCATCTGTAGTGGCAGTAGTTTTAAAACAAGAGAGGAGAGTCTTTTCAGAGACTAGAAGGGACCTCACCATGAGATGCTATCATGGAAAAATCGAATCCAATCATCTTAAAGTATAATTAGGTTTGTACTGCGATGTTGAACAAGTGGTGTCCTGTTATCAAAAGTTCCAGACATCTCAGACTTCACGTCAGCTGAAGTCGTGTTCAGTGGAATTTCGTCACTGTTTAACTATAATATACCCTTGGATACCTAATTTAACAGCATTCCCAAACATTTTTGCGTGTCCCCAGAAAGAGGTCACAGGACATTGTTATATGTCATCTTATATCTTGTGCATCTTGAATTTTCAGCCCAAATTTCGTAAATATGTCATTTGCAATTGGTGTCAATCAAACAGAAAAAAAAAAAGCGAAGAACACCGTTAAAGAAAACAAGTGCAGGCGTTGGCGACGTTCTAGAATTCTTCCTAAACTTATCAAAGTAGTTGTCTCTGAAAAATAATTTTAATGGTGACATAAGGAGCCCTGGATCGTTTATTTCACTCTATCTCTTCTACACCTCTTACCTCTCCAGCCTCTTTGCATTCTTGCAATTCTAAAACCAACTGTATCTATACTAGTGTACAGGTTTTCCCTCACTTCCTCGATACTTAGTCTCATTTGATCCAACGCTCGTAACTGCTCCTGCGCACCGATGCTCAGTACTAAAGACACAATGCAGTCCACCTTGGAAACCCCGGGACCAGACGATCCACCCATAGCATAGCCGATCAAGGTTCGTCGATCGTCTCCTAAATGAAAAAAATTGAATCAAAGAGATGTTACATCAAAAAAGGTTGTCGTTCATCGTAATTTCAAGATCAATGAACGTTCAATAGTTTGTCTCACGATGTAAGGTCAGGCTGGTTAATCTTGACCTCTTCAATCGTGTATCAATTACGATCAATACACGATTGATTAGCCTGACTCTTTCATCGTGAGACAAATTAAACGAATTAACGTTCATTTCATAATTACATCCTTAGTTTGGTTGGTATTGTATACAAAGAAGATAACAAAAAACCAGTGAAGACTTTGACCTATGTAATACGAATTATATTATAAGGTCAATCATTCACACATTTTGATTGGTTCTTACCCATGATCTATTGGACAACGTCATAGATGACGTCACCATAAACTACTTTTTGCTCCGTTATTATTTAAAACAAAGAGATTCGATATTAACGTGGGTCTGTTCAGTAACAGACCACAGAAAACGTCATTATGTGGAAAGAACATCAGTGACACACCCAGCTGTGTCCTGTGTGCCACCTTTTGGTTCTTACAACATTGAGACACCATCTTTGATCTATTGCTGAACAGACTCGCAGCAATATGGAATCTTTTTGTTAAAAAGTTCGCCGGAGCACCTTCCAGAATTATAAATTGTGCGATTAAAATTTTAGCTAGGCGGTAGCCAATTGCACAGTTTTCTATGAATCAAGAAAAAGTGATACAGAAATGTAATTTATGATGGTGTATGAACCAGGCATAACTATGAATGTGGTGAAGGAATTAATATAAATTCTTCTCCAAAATTTTTTTCACGGATTCAAATTCCTCTTCACTATCAAGATAGCTCTCCAAAAGGTGGTGGGGTAATCTCCATTGTCTATACCCTCACACAGAGATAAAATACGATGTTGTTGGTTTTTCAAGTGGCACTGAGCTGATAGAACCTGTAACTGTACAGACAAACCCAACTATATCTCTGTGTTAATTATATCAATTTGTTTTTACCTTGTTCTGGTGTGGCAATTGCCACCCCTGGGAACTTATTACTGGGGCAAGCGTAAACCAGTTGTCCAGGTCTCACTTCGCCAATGACTTTCACTTTAATCTGTCCGATGATGCACACAAGATCAGCATCTGAGTGTTACAAAGATACAGAGTTAGGGACTGGTTATTATTCATCGGCTGGAGGGGGGGTTTGGGAAATCAAATGGGTTCCAGGGGGATCTTAGACCGTCCCTTCCCCCCCCCACCCTTACGTTCACATGGCCAAAGAAAAATATCACAAATATCTAGGTTTAAATTAAAAATAAAAAGACAAGGTATCTCTACGACGTTGTAATCATCCCTTCCCCAAAAGAAAAACAAAACAAAAAACAACCCTTTTAAAAAATACGTATAGCACGATCCCAGGAACAAAAACAGGCGACTAGAAAAGGCCATGGAATTTAAGCCTTCATAGTCTTGTACATCCATAAAAGCGACTTTCGTTGCTAAAATGTTGGGTTTCGTAGTTACTTTAAGTATATAGAGAACAATCACTGATGCTTACCCGATCCTTTTTATAAATTCGAACTATCGATTATGTTTGCACGACATGCAACAACCGTTACTTACCATCTTCTTCTTCGTCATATTGCCCTGTGTTCCCGACTAGGTACGCTGACCTACTTATTACACCAGCCAGCCGGGCTTCATGAGCATTATCACTGGTCAAGAAATCGATAACAGTGCCTCCTGTTTTTCTTTCAAAGAATCCCACCACGTCACCTTCCTCAAATTGACTTTCATTCTGCCGTTTGACGTAGTAAGCGATGTCGTGGTTCGCTGTTTTTATCTGTTCAACTTCGAGGTCTTTTATCTTAGCTATATCCGCTTCGATTTGTTGGCATATAAAGCTTTCATACCGGCTATCTGTAGGAATCGTGAAAATAAATCACAAAGTAATTTTGATTCAATGAACGGTGGTGGAAAAGGTCAGTTCTTCAGCTTAAGCTTTGGAAAAACTACTCGTCTCAAAGGAGCGTCGAAAGTAACTCTTTTGAAACCGCATGTTTCATATTAGACCAATCAAATGCAAAACTGACTACGATCGCCTTTTGGTGTCTCGCTTTCTCCGAATACGTCTCAAGGCACTAGTTCATCTGGAGGCTAAGAGTAAGATCAATAAGAAACTTCAGTATGCCCCAGCTCTAAAACATTTTCATGTTTTGGAGTTTTAAACGTCACTATTGCTCAGGTTATCACACTCCTGGCCAAAAAGCTGTGATGAATGACCAAGTTAAACGTTAGGACTCACATCGGGCGATGAAATGCTCCTCAGTACTCTAGTGACTACAGGAAAAATTTCTAAAACAAAATAGTATTCCTAAGTTCAAACATAACTCCACGATCTTTCTCGAGCCATCACCTCTAACGAAAAGATCATATCGGAAAATGGCTTTCGCTCAAGATTTTCGTACTCGTCTCCTCACTATCCATACGTCGAGATATCCCCAGTATAATGATCAAATGTTTTAAGCTTATAGGTAACTAGAGACGTAAAATCGTTAACAATTAAGTAATTCTCACCTGAAGGAACTTGACGAGGAGAGGTTAAAGAGCAAGCTGTTTGAGGCGAGAGGACACTTTGAGGTTCCCTCGGAACTTTTGAAATAGAATTGAATTAAAACTACTTTAAACGCGGGAGAGGTGATCAGCGTATCTTCAAAGGGCTTAAATGAGGGTTTTGGTATCATTTGTGGTGTCTACAGTAACACAAGAGTGAGCAACGAAACAGTTGTTACCGCAATCCAAAATTTTCAACGCATTGGGTAACACCCGTTGGTAATATACATCTTTTCCTAGGATGCATACATAAACACTGATACTTTTAAGGGATACTCTTCAGGAATTCTAAAACTCCCTCGCATCACTTTAATATTCGAATACCCCACTTTTACCATCAAATTTAACTTTTATCACACAAAGAAAGAAATAACTATTGCAAAATGATGTTTTTTTTTCAACATCAGTTACTACCAAAGGTAATTTTCACTTCAAGAACCTTGGAGGTTCGATTGAGTGAACCCACACTATCAAAACTTTCATCTGAACAGTTAGCTTAACAAAAGGCATCATCTTCAATTGCATCACTGATATAAAAGCATCACGTCTACATTCAAGTCATGACAGGATGGTTGGTATACGTGCAAAATGTTTGTGGCGAAAACCAAGTTTACACGCCAAGCTGTCGGGAGTTTCCCACAACCCAATGCTAAATCAATTGAGTGTCAAAAAAAAGTCAGGATTGCATACGTTTTGTTGTACTTCTCTTTGTGATTGGTCCAGAAAATTTGCGCCATTTTCTCAACCAATCAAATACAAAACTAGAACCAACGGTGTCTCAGCAATTCGCGTTTTCCGCGCTGTTTTTTCTTCATTTTGAGTTCTCGAAGGCTCTGGTAACTTCTTCCTTAATTTGCTCTGATTTGCTGCTGTGATTTCTTTGCTCTTAATTTTACGGCACTTAATCGAAAAGCGCTCCAAAGTAAAAGAATTACTTGGAATCAGGTGGTCTCAAATTTGACTTCAGTTGGAAGTATCGCGAATTTCATTATTCTAAGTATGACTGCACCACTGACTGAGGAAACATCACGATCTTACGATTTTCATCACTATTAACATTTAACTCCTACATTTCCAAGAGGTAGATAGATATTATTTGATGCTTGCACTAATGCTGCGTATGGTGCTGTAAGAAATCTTAGGGGATCCATGTGCTTACCTTTCACGGTCTTGCTGCTCTTTAGTACAAACTCATAAGGGAAAAGGACCAACCTCTGTCCATTGTTTAACTCGAGGAAGACTTTTAGAAGGAATCGGTTGTATTCTAAGCCTCTCGTCTTTTCCAGTCGGTAAATCTCCTTACCATCCTCTGTTTTGTACACGGAGTCAAGGTCGATTTTGCAAACGTACTTGGGGTTTTGACCTGAGAGAAAATGTTTTAAGATTTACATATTGAAGCCTTTTCACTACCACCAGTACAGTAATTTTCATATAATGCGAGATCGCATTGGTTTTGCTTTTCAACTATCATTGATCAGTTAAGGACCCTTGCTTAACCCACTCAACCAATCGGAGGCAAAAGTAGAACCAAAAGTGGATCCATACAGAATGCGAGAAAACAAGGTACAGCACTACGCCTGAATCCCCCGTAGACTCCTCATTCTTAAGATAAACCATATTCAGTCATTTTAGATAACTTTGATTAACAATATTTCCAAATACCTGAGGGATCTCCTTGAAAATATCCAATGCTATGCTACAAATTTACTACTGCAGATTACCCATGAGATTTTTGTTCGTTCTTCATCCAAGAGGCAATGTGCGAGTTTCACCCGAGAGATCAGGGAAAGAGTAACTTTTGGGATAATTCATCGATGGAGAATTGAGTACTCTAACTCAGTCGATTTTTGACCGAAATAAGTGATCAAGGATCTCTATAAATTTCGCCTCTGTATTTGCAAAGCATTTGGCGCGGTAGTTACTGATCTGTCTGTACCAGGAGTATTAATTTCTTGGACATCCTTCTCAAGAAATCGTATCTCTCCTACTCCGTATGCTTTTGGGTCTTTAGCGAAGAGCTTCTTTTCAGCTTCAAAATCACGCAACACATAAACTTCTAGTTGACGAAGAGGCAGCTGTGTGTCTATTTCCATCTCAACCTGAAATCAGCCAAAAAGGAACCCTAAAAAGAACTTATTGAGAGCCATATTGAGCCAGAATTGTCAAGCTTGTTATCAAAAAAATTAAAACAGTGCTTGGCAACAATTTTTACCACTGCATATTTTCAAAACAATTAACTCATCAACTCGAGATTTCTATTGCTAAATAGCTAACGAGAACGAAGCCTGAAAAAAAAATAGAAATCACCAGAAAAAGTACTCGTTATAGTATTCAAGTCTGCTGTTTGTTTAAAACTTAACAAGAAGACAGGGCCGTGGTTTTATTTTAATTTTGTCTATAACCGCGCACCGTTATTCTACTCACTTAATTTACCCACTATCTACCACGTAATAGATAGCGAGTAGCATACCCAATCAGATTGTAGTTTTTGATCGATCAAAAAACAAATCTCAGGTTTGCACTGTCGCAAGAAAAGGCTTCAGCTCTACCTTTCCTTTTGCTACTCTTTGCTCTGAAAATTTCCCTCTATGTCCGTGCTTTCTCTGCACTTTGTCGTACTCTGCCCGCGGATTAAGGATCTTGATATTCGCTTCATTGCAATGGGCATGGGTCACCTGAACTCTTCTATCTGAGTATCGGACAAAATTGGTTCCTCCTACACGATCACGCGGAAGGCTGAAAGTCTGGTACTGACAAGGCGCTCGTAAATCCGCACCGGACGGTCCAGCACTCGGAATAAGGGGTTCGCAAACGAAGTTCCCATCTGGGAGGGTATCGCGTGTTTGAACGGTGTGAGTTGCAAAGGGAGAAGGTGTGTTTGTTCTTTCGCTGTCTGGTGGTGAGGGGCAACCAGGCTGAAGGGGGTTGAGGTATTGTGGTTCATTATGCATCACTAGCTGTGATAGAAAGTTGGGCGATACAACAGGGCTAGAGTCCGTAGTAGCCAAGTTATGATGATCCGAAGGAGAGTCTAAAATGAGAATAAAAAAAAAATATCATGGACAGTTGGTAAAAATAATCAACAATAGTTAAGAATAAATTCCCCTCATACTTTTACATCCGTACAAATAATATATTATTCCTATCTGTTCTAAAAATATGTTTACATATCTATGTCTCATAGTTGACTTTATCGGTAGCTCACTTCGAATCGAGCATTAATATTGACTTTACACTAATTTTCAGCCTTCTTCTTTAACCAGCCTTCGTTTTGTACCGGCTATTAGCGGAAAGGAAAAGAAAGCAGGGTGAGCAAAAAATGGCACCTTTCAGCCAATCTCCTCCACTGACCTAGAGCCATGCAGAGGTTTTTCATTGTTTTCCGTTCTACACCCTTTAAATCCAAAGCTAAACTTATGATCCAGAGTTTGAAATACAGTGACGGATATTTGGGTGTAAATGTCAAACCGAATAATAATACAAGTCACGAATGGAAAGCTTTAAGATGTTTACTGTCGACTTTCGAACCGCTACAAAAACTATGGAAGACATCATTGAACTAATCATATTTTAGTATTGTCATAGTTCGAAGAAACAGTGCTATCACGTCAGTCGCAGCAGCCAATCACGTCACGTGTAGTAAAGCCTTGAGCTTTCATTGGTTAACTAGCCTCGCTTTCGTGAAACTAGACTCGGGCCCTATACCTGAACTCCATAGGAAAAAGTACCTGGTTCAATGCTGAATGCAAGAGAGCAAAACGAAACAGCTGAATGAAACATTGTCCAGTTTTGTTGGTTAAAGGCTTGAAACACAAATTATGATGTAATTAACATATTTAGTTCAGCCGTCGTTTTTCATCTTCTCGAAGGAGTAGTCCCAGTTTTGAAATGAAGATTTCAAGCTACAGCCACACATGGCATAGCGAATAAACTCGATTATGCAGCTTGACGACCATCAGAATCTCTGTAGAGGGCTAAATAATCCTCTACATGAGGTATATCGCACAATAAGCAAGGAAAAAAATGTCAGAGGGATGGAGTTGGCTGGGAAATAAGTACGGAAATACGACTAGCTAAAAGAGATAAAAGCACCCATGTTCCTCTTTATATTGTCCTTTTCTCAGCCTCTGAACTGCAATAACGGTTTTATTGTGTAAAATAAAATCGTTATTCTGGGATCAAAAGACTGACTAACATCTCTGTAGTATCTTACCCAGGAATTCTGCCAGAATCTCTGCTGTATCAAAACGTTGATACGCGGGCTGATTGGATGAGTTCGACATACTTTTCCGCGCTAATAAGAAAAAAACACATGATACGTGTAAACAAAAAAACATGTAAATAGCTAGATAGTGATTTTTGTGGTTCATACAAAGAAAATGATTTTAACTCTTTATACCTTTGACGGTTAAGAGTGATGGGCTTTTAATTTCTCCTTACATTACTTCCCTCTGAGGAAATGTAAAGTTCATGAGAAAAACGAAAATTATCACCAATTTAGGAAGCTCTTAACGGTTAAACAAATAATCCTAATTATCCTTATCGGTATCAAAGGGAATATAGAGATAACAGTGCAGAGAATATGAAAGCGAAAGGTAAGATGGAAAGGGTTACAGGCTGTTTGAGAGGAAGATATTCAAGAACCTTGTGACCACATAGTATATAAAGCATTTATTCAGGCCTTGAACTAAAAAGACAACATTTAGTTGTATATACAACAAATTTTCGAGTATGGTTGTCTTAGTATATGATATCGTAGCGGTTACTTTTTAGTTAATGAAAATCAAACTAAATAAATCCGTGAAGGACCAACTATACTAGCGAAGGAGTTTTCTGTCCCTAGGCCAAGAGTGGCCCGCCGATATTCCATCAAATTAAATATAGAAAACCATGCCATTCACTCAGTGAATCGTGCGAAGGGAAAACCCGGGAAAAATGTAAAATTAATCACGAGTTATAACAGATAAAAAGATTAAAAAGAAGCTACGTGCAACAGCCAGCGATGATTCAGTCAATTTGAAAATGACTCTCCTCGATTCAGTATTGAAATAACGCAAACCACTAAGTTTAACCACGTTCCTAAGTCGGAGCAACTCCTCTGTCCGATAGAAATTTAAGATTGTACCCGTAAAGAAATCTTTTCTATAACTTCAGTATTGTAGTCTCTATAGCTGTTCCCGAGTCTCCATATTAGACCTTTTTTTCTTGTTGCAACGAAAACACGGGAACGTCCGCTATCCATTTGAGCTGATACAAAGGACCTTAAGCGACGGCAACAAGGACGTGGCAAAACAAAAGAGCTAATAAGCAAAACAATAGCTTAGCACGTGCTTTTTAAAACTAAGTACATTTTCAAGTCGTCCTCTGCAAAACAACAACGTGAAATCACCGAAGTTTACGTGGTTTGAGAACGAAAACCCGGCGGAAAATTGTTTAAGTTTCCATTTGGATCTTACTGCTGCTAACAAACGTTATGCTGAAGTTGAGCTGTGGCGCCGCCTAAGAGAAGTGAAACACATCCAGCCATTTGTGAAACTCTTACTAAAAATATAAATTCATTTCCTAGTCGAAGACTTCATCGGCGTTGCTGTCCTGACTGCTTAAGGTCCCTACATACATTACGGCTTCACAGAAATCATTAATAGCGATACGAATCCTGCACAGTTTAACCGCATTCAGGCTCAATTACACCGGAAAGCTAATCGGTGATGACTGAATTCAGCAATTTGGTCATGTTATCCACTCCACCTAAAATTTCGTCCTTGAAAGGTTTTTAAGCGTTAAGTCACCTTGTTCAAAAAGCAATGAACAGTTCAGTTTCTCCCTGACGAGGAAACTTGTCTATGAAGCACTCGCTATATTTTTCTACGTTGTATCTCCAAAGTAAACTTGTGAAAAGTTGCTCACCAGGTTAAGGCGGCTGTGATTTCAGTTTTACATACTAACGATGTTAAATAACTTTCTTGAATTAAAGGTGACACAAATTTACCCGAAATTATAAATATAAATCGTCCTGATGGAGAAAGTAAATATTTTGCAAAGGTCTGTGACGCGTGGCATGTAAATTCTGCAAGACATATTTGCATGTTAGGTTTGACAACAAACGGTATTTAAACTACGATAACTTTCTGACTTCATTGAAACTACGTCAGAAAAAAAATTGCATTAAACTAGAAATACAATTTAAACGAAAAACAAAAAACAAAACCATTTGTAAAAGGGACAGAAAAAAAAACTGTTGTTGTCTCTCTTTGCGTTTAGCTGACACCGAGTACATCACTTCCGCCAAGATACAATATCGCATATAACACAAAAAAAAATACCAGTGGAATATTTATAGCATTTCTGCCACGTTATGCAGTTATTCGTTTGTTTAGCGGCATTTTCTTGGACACACTGTTTCAGTTTAGTTGCAGGTTTGTATCAGAATCATTCAGAACATTCATCCCCTCGGTGGAAATCGAAACTTCGGCCCCAGAAAAGGAAGTTAATTATAGAAAAACCCCTTCAACCAAACCGCGTCGTTTTTAAGATCAGAAGACAGCGCCGAAATAATTTACATCGAAGCTTACCTGCGTATAAATTCGAGTGATGGTAAATTTTCCGACTCCGCGTTTGGTCGACAATTCTAAGATGTAATACTCCTGAAACTCGACATCATAGCATTTGGAACTCAGCCCGGTGCTTACATCATCAAGGGTGTTTCGAACTTCGGTGATTTTTCAGTTTCGATATTGCTGATCTAATGCATGCATTCGATTGTGTGACTGTCGTATATGTTGGTTATAGATTCCCTTCCTCGGGAAAGTACCTCTGATGAGTTTCACTTCCTCATTGACGATTTTCGGTTTCCCAAACATAAATCTACTATTCTGTTCAAAATTTTTCTTCCATCTGATTAACCTGGTAATTTCCATGCCAGCACAGGCAACGCTGTGAAAAATGCCTTATGGAAAAGACAGCGTGATTAGGTCACGACTCGACAATTCATTTTTCCATTACCACTATTAGATTTTACGTCATCAGGAATCGAAAATCGAAAACCAAATCTTCAAGAGTCGAAACAAGTCGCAGTCCACTGAAAACAATACTTGTAAAACTCGGTTATCTAAATATGTATACTAATATCTTGAACAAAAACGCAGGCCATCCAATTTTTCACGAAACGCTTTGTAGAAATCTTAGTAATCTTCACCCTGCAAACTAAATAACTCAATGGGGTGTTGGTTTTAAACGTTAGTTTCTTAAAGTAGAAAGATTGCCACGTCACGCTTTCTAATACTTATGCAATCGTCCAATATCGTTAAAAAACTATAGGAAACCTTCAATTTAGATTCTAAAAATAAAAAAAAAAGTAAACTCCATGGTGAAATACAACAAACAAAAGAGGAAAAAGTTTCCAGGTTGACCCTGGTGGAATGCATATCGAAGAACAGCGAATAACGAGGTGCCCAAGGCCTTGGTATGGTCGAAAGCGCGCTTTATATTAATACAAACGTGATCGAAACTTCACTTAGATTCCTGTTTACTCAAGACGACACGTCTCAATGAAATCGAAAGTCTAGTGTTCAATCGACTCAGTGAAATGTCACCGAAATGGAATAAGAGAAGGAAAAAGTTTCCTCCTGCACGAAAGTAAGTGTATGAACATACACTACATGGCTATTGCTTAACCAAAACAAGATGCATCAATATTGGCTCTTCAGATATCGTGGTTTTAATCTTAGCGATTGAGTGTGGATCAAACAATACTTTTAGTGACCTGACAGCTATTAATAGTAATGTATTCCTTACCTTCTGGCTGTCTGCAGTTACCGTGAAGCAGTAAAAGAACTGCGTGCGGTCACCATCTCCGCGTTGGAAGTAAACCAAGAGTGTAAGCATATATATGCTGAAGTTTTTTTTCATTTTTTTATTTTTATTTTGGGTAGTATTGTAACTGGGCCAAAGATCACGGGAGTTTGGAATGAAAACAAAGGGAAACACCCTCTACAAGCTTTTTCGAGAAAATCTATCAAATTCAGCATGTTTCGTCGAAAAGCAAACCGCCTATTTAATCCTTGTGTAATTCATTTTGTGTTTTATAAGCCGAGAGATTTTCCATAGGAAATAAAGTAATCCTCCGAGAGAAAAAAACCTCCCCGCGTTTCCGTGACTTTTATTTAAAATTCAATTTCACCACCCCATCCTCCCGACCCCCCTTGTCATCCTAAACCTCTTGAACGCACCATTCCTCGGCCAATGTGCCGCAAATGACGATAGGACAAAGAACGTAACGCTGTCTCACGTGACATTCCTTTACCTCATGAAATACTCTAGCTAACGACAACATACCGTCGCGTAATGGGAGCACTCCTCAAGAAAAATCATAATAGAATCTGCTATGGAACATTAGACTCATGATACATCTAAAATCTTAAATTCACTGGATAATCAACCGAAAAATTGACCCTTTTCAAATATAACGACTAAGAGTTTGGGCGGAGGGGAAATAGGAAAGAAGAAATGATTCGAATGGCACGTGATGAAGATTTGAAACCAGCTATTTCAAACTGCAAAAGAGATCAGTTGATTACTTGTTGAAAATTTCAGTTTTCAGGTAAATTCAATTTTCTGCGCTCAAATCCAGCCACCTGTATTGTATGAGATTAATTAATATGCTCTAGGCGAATAAACTCACTGGAAGATTTCCATGAAGTACTCAAGATATGCAAATGTTCCCGCCAAGGAACAATTGTATGACTGGTGGCAAAGTATACATCGCTGATAATTCAAATATATATGTGTGTTTTAATTCATTAGCATTAATTTTTTCCACGTCTGAAAAACCACATTGGTAAGTCCTCTTCGTAGGTCTATGCACCTAAGGCGTCGGCCAGAGAACGCCATTGATTTCTGTCGGTTGTCACTTAGTCAAGCTACCCCCGTGTCCAGCCTCTGTCACTCATTTCCCTTTCTATGCGTCTTCTCCAAGTTTCCTTGGAAAAGTCTCTCTTTCGTCGGCCGTCCATCGGAGGGCGACGTTAGGTAGGAATAACAGAAGTATTCGGTACACGTAGCCGATTAGTCTCCATCTTCCTCTCGGCTGGGTGATGAGTTCTCTGCCCGTTCTTCTGTGCAGTTCATTGTTGGAGATGGTGTTAGGCCAAAAAAATGCGGAGAGTTCTCCGCAGGGATCTGTTCTGGAAGACGTCTAGCTTGTGGCTGATGGTCTTCGTCATCTTCTAGGCTTCTGATCCACTAAGAGGGTGCTTAGCATATTGATTTTGAAGAGACACACCTTTGATCTATGGCCGATGCTCTTGGATTTCTAGGTACCAAGAAGCAGATTCAAATTTTGGATGGATGCCCAAACAATGAAAAATTCTTCGATGACGTTGAGAAGTAGGATATGTAAGCAGCGAGCAGACGAATATTTCGCCAAATCGAAGGATGACAAAATTAATCGCGAGACACACACCAATCGCAACATTTGCAATAACTAAATTCAATAATTTTTTAATCACTCTATCCCCAAGTTTGTCTTTTCTTAATAATTTTGAGCAAATAACCCTCTGAAATCTCAGGAAGCGACCAGAGGAACGTGGACACAACTACGCATGAGCAGAACATACAGCTTTACGCATGGGCAGGCCAGTATCTGTGAGCAGTTATTAACAAGTTCTTACTGGCGGGCTCCCAGCCAATAAAATGGAAGGAAAATTTATCACATACTTAGGATTCTTATTTAGCTAACTTGAAGTTCAATGTTACGTAGTTTTAATTTTCATGAATATTTTTTAGGAGGGTCTGTTAGTTAAAATTTTGATTCCAGCGCTCATACTCATATCCATTAAATGATTATCAATGTACAACAACAACTGCTCTACCTTAGAGTAACCACAGCTGTAATGTTTCATGGCAACCAATTTGGCAAATAAAAACTGAATGATGTGACCCCCAGCCTACTATATCATATACATTACACCAAGAGTAACATGCTCTGAACCAATACACTATGTTTTACAAGGTGATGTTATCTTCCTTGGCTTTCCTGTGCACTGGGTTGAGCATCAGAAGACTTCTCCAATAGAGGCTTGTTCAGACCCCGTCTGTTTCGTGCAATCTCAATTGCGTAGAACTGGATCCTTGTAACTATGAGCGGGAAAGTGAATAAAATAACTGTTGGGCTTCAAAATGTGGAAAACATTACAGTGCTGAGAAAACAGATAATGCAAATTTAAAAAAAATTATAAATTAAAAACCTATGAATGATATCCTGACCCTAACCTTCAATTTTCCATCCATTTTTTTGAACAGAATTTTGTAATATTTTGATAATTTTTCTTTATTCCACAGTATGTGCAATGAAATTGTGAGTGCTTTTAGTAATTGAACATCACATTCAAGCGAGTTAAATGAAAACTTCATCACTTTTGATTCATGACCACCATGATAAAAAAGTACCTTCAGAAAGTGCTGAACTAAGTGTAAATATCTTAAAGGTTCTTTTAACTTTTTTACATTTTCTGCCATACAAAAAGCTATGAAGTTGAAAATCTAGGAAAAGACAATTTAAAAATACCACAAAATGAATGTAACTCCCAGAAGTGATTAACTAGTGGCTACTCATTGCAATTCCAATATGTTATCTTGCAACAAAGTTATGAGAACAGACAAGCTTATCAGCTACCGGGTGTTATCAACTCGATAAATTGAATTCTCCTGTCTATTCTACCAGGAAATGTAAGGCAGTCAGTTGGAAGAATAACTTATTTGATCTTGGGACTTAAAGGGTTTAGCAGGTTTGTAGCAAATATTTCCATTTCCTTCACTATCCTCCTACTGGTTGAGTGTTGTCTCACCTAAGATAGTGTTTTCTTCTTCATAACCTTTAGCACAGTCAATTCTAAGGAGAAAAATAGAAATATAATGAAATTTGAGCCCATATTTCTACTGAAAAAACTGTAGCTGAAAAATATTTTACCTCAACAATGTTGCAAAATTGAAATCATCAATCTTTCCTTCATACATGTTACAAAATGGCCTCCACTTCTGAATAAGACGATAAAAGTGCAAAGGATTAATAGTCAATAATAGTTAATAATACCTAATAATTTTCATGAAGCAATTATACATAAATATTAATGTTCAAATGTTTTTAATAGTTTTGTATTTGAAGACTTAAAAATTGAAATACCATTCAGTAGAAATGTAAGTGAAATAATATTTTGAGGTACTGATAGCATCCTAAAGAATAACATTCACATAAGCATACGCTAATGTTTTACCCTTTACACCCTTACATCAGTATGCACTTTCTCCATATTGTTCTCTGTACAATTCCAAAGGTGCTGACAAGGAGAATGAGTTTAACAATCAAGAGAGTCTTTGGTTAGTGATCACCTTCTTTATTCTCTTAATGTGTGATTCAGGGGTGATATTGTAAGGAGAAATTAGATGCTGGTCACTCTTAAGGGTCAAAGGGTTAAAAGTGGAGACGCTGTGGCCTAGTCGCACATGCAAGTGTGGTGGACTCCGGGTCAAGATGTCTGGGTTCAAAACCTGGCCAGGTCATTGTGTTAAGTTCTTAGGCAAAACAGGTTACTTTCACAATGCCTCTCTTGACCCAGGAGTATAAATGGGTACTGGCAAATTTTCAGGAAAGCCTGATCAAATGCTGGGGGGTAACCTTTCAATGGACTAGCATCCAATCCAGGGGAAGGGGGGTGTAATACTCCTTGGAAGAAACTTTCCCTCAAAATTTCAAGATTCCTTAACGTTTCCAGTGAATTGATCTTCAAAATTTCAGATGA